AGCGGTGCTGTGAGGCAAGCCTCTCTTGGGAGACGTAAAAAGCAACAGCTCACAGGAGAGTCCTGTGAGGTGCTATCAAACTGTTTTCTCTGTTTATCACAGTTTACAAAGTTCAAAAATATTTAATTTACAATCAACATGTTTACATTTAAGAGTATGGCTCATAAATTGTGTTTTTGAAGCAAATATGGGTCTTAATCGCGCTCAACCACAGCTTGTAAGTGAGGAAAGCCTCAAGGGGGCGCTTGTGAGCCCAAACTTTGGCTGCATCCAATTCCATCAGAAAGCTCCTTTCTTGTTCTTCTTCTGCTATAAGGGCAGCTACAGGTTTGGCTAACATACCTATAATACATTTTAAGATAATTTAAAATGCACTTAGAGTAATTTTTTGCTTCCAATGATGATATGAATCATAAGAAAAGGAGGTGAAGGGTAAGGTTGAATTTAGAAATTGGATTTACCCGGGAGTCGGCTGCAGCAAAACTCGGAGTTTACGGAGGAGACACCCGTTTTTTTTTACTTTTTAAAACTCATTAAACTTATTTCCAAATGGAGGATTACATGTCTGTGCTCAAACTATTATCTGGACTTAAACATGAAACTGGTCCTAACTGAAGTGGTCTGTGCTGTTCATTAATACCTAAGGTAAGGCCCATAACACACTTTGTACTTTTTACAAACGTTTGCGTTTTGTATGAGAAAACAATGCAGACATTAAATCATATTCTGCTGTAGCCAAACAAATTGTGTATAAGCCGCTCCTGTTCCTGTAGGTCCTGTTGGTTTATATGATGTATAATCATATGAACACATGATTGATCCCCCACCGCACGTCACTGGTGTAGCCAGGTCTCTAATCTGCGCAAGGCTGAGAAAGAGCGCTCAGAGGCTGCGACAGATATTAGCCAGACAGAGCTTCATAAGCTTCTCCGACAGCATGGAGCGGGTTTTGGGCTGCAAGGAACGCAGGATAGTGATAACTTCTCGCTCCCGGCACACGCGGAGGGGGTGCGGCCGCACTCCCCGCACCCCTAGTTCCGACGTCTATGCATGGAGGGGAGCGGGGGTGTTGATTCTCAGCTCCGGGCAACCCACGCTGTGTGCTCGGGGACGCTGGAGCAGCGAGAGGAGCAGGCTCGGGTCGCTGCTGCTGACCCGGTGGAGGTAAGTGGTGGTGATGCACTGGGGTCAGAGAAGGGGAATGACCACTCTTTCGTCTGAGGACGGCTTCCTTTAGGAGCGTTTTTCTCGCAGTGGACTTAGATCCACGAACGGCAGAGTACGCTGCAGAGTCCAGAGGTTCTGCTGAGGGGGCTGGGATGTCAGCGGAGAGGGCTGCATAGCGGTTTGACAAGCTTAGGACATGGGCCACGGCGCTGGATGGCTCCTCGCAGTTCGCGCTGACAGACCTCTCCCACACGACAGTGTCACAGTATGCAGCGCTCAGTGACATAAGCCGTGAGTGCTGCCCGCCAGCGACATCAAAGAGTTTGGACACGAGTAATTGTTTTTCCTGTAGTTCTGCAGTGAGGCGAAGGACTTCTTTACGGAGGTCTGCAATAGTGGCACGGTCCCTCTCACGAAACTCCAATGTGAGGCGACTAATGTCGTTTATAGGGTTTGTGGTTATTGCAGTGTCGCGTTCCATGTCTGTGTAGGTTTAATAAAAGCTCATGACGTGGTGCCCTCGTGGTAGCCTCCGAGCTAGCACGTTTTCAGCAACACATCTTCATTGTCTCAGTTTGCTCTGGGCTCCAATTCACAATTCTCAAGAGCTTGTGAAGAAGTTTCAATAAAAAATACATTAAACTGTAACTTTAAAAAGACTTAAAAGCAGTAAAAAATCCATTAAAACGAGTTAGTCCAGAGAGAGACACTGCCTGCAATGTAGTGGATCTAGATCAAGAGTCCTATCTAACATTCAAAACTACTCCCCATACGTACCTCCAAAGCCACCTAGGGCGTCCAACTTAAATTCACTCACAAAATCCACCTGTCCCTGTTACACCCCTGAAATAAGGAGAAAACCACGAGAGTGATTTGGGTGCGTTTCCCTCTTGCAGGAGTTTAATACAAGTCTTATAAACAAATACGAATATGATACAATTACAACAATTGGTCCCTTTTACCTGAAATAAGGAGAAAACCACGAGAGTGATTTGGGTGCGTTTCCCTCTTGCAGGAGTTTAATACAAGTGAGGAAACAGCGCGAACCCCCCCCTATCTGTCGGTGCGGGCAAAACCAATCGCTCCATTGTTGTTCAGGCTTACTAGTCGATAACAATCTTTTCTGTAAAAACTCAAAATGTAAATACTGAATTAACTGTAGATATTTTAACATACCTTTAACCATATTCAAATATTATGTAAATTATGAAATAACTATTTATTGCAAATCTCTTTTTCTGTATATATATCTATTACATTGTTTTTATCACTATTACACACACCCCTTGGAAATTAGATGGCGTCCCGACATCTTACTCAAACACAAATAAAGGTAACTTCAAAAGTCTCAAATGAACGTACTTACTGAACCATATACACATTTTAGGTTAAACCATTAGCAGGATCTCAATGCAAAAGCATTATATATTCTCAATTACAATCATTACCAAAGGACAGTATGTCTCAAAATGGTCTTATAAACATAACATTCACTCGTAAATCTTCGTATCGTACATCCCTCCTCTAACCCCATAAGTATTCCACCCCCCCCTCCTGCTCATTTAGCCCACCTCCCCCCTAACCCATCACCAAGAAACCCTCCACCTCCACTCCCCCCTCGTCCACCACCCAACTCAGCCTGCCCCTCCCCTAACCCATCACCAAAAACCCATCCACCTTCAACCCCCCCCCGTCCAACTCCCAAGAACCACCCGCCTCTCCATCCTCCTCCCCCGCCTTCCCCTTCCCCTCTTTTCTCTAAACACTAGGATGCACAGGGTCTCTGCTTCGCAGCCACTGGCAGTCTAGTTAGAGGAGAGACCCGGCCGGGGCCCTGTCATGAAGCCACCTGTGCCATTCCTTTAGTGATAACACAAAGAATACATAACAGAAAAACATCTGAAGTTAATCAGTCTAATCAGGAAAATCTAATTCTTGTTCCGTGTAAGAATCAGCCAACCACAACCGCTGATCCTGAAACTTTGAAACTTGCTATGCTAAATGTCAGATCTCTTTGTAACAAGTCTTTTTTAATCAATAATTTTATTTGTTCTTATAATCTAGATCTTATGTTCATGGCTGAAACTTGGCTTGACCAAAATACAGAAAATGCAGTTTTAATAGAAGCGTCACCACCAAATTACTAATTTGAATCTGAAATACGGGAAAACAAAAAAGGAGGAGGCTTAGCTGCCATTTTCAGAGACCACTTTGTCTCCCATAGAATGTCTCTTGGGAAGTTTCCGTCTTTTGAATATGTGTCTTTTAAAATACAACAAAAACAATCTCCTCCAATACTTTTCGTTGTCCTATACAAGCCACCGCAGTCATGTCACAGTTTTATTGATAATTTTACAGAGTTGCTTTCAGTTGTATGCACAGATTTTGATAGTTTAGTTATTACAGGGGATTTTAATATTCATGTGGATAATGTTGATGACAGAGATGCTAAAGAGCTGAGTTTTGTACTTGAATCCTTTGGTCTCAGCATGTGAGTGGCCCCACCCACAGCAGAGGGCACACTCTAGACCTGTTAGTTACTAAGGGGGTGAACATTTCTAATGTAAACGTGGTCGACGTTGCGCTTTTGGATCATTTTTGTATATTTTTTGACATGTGTTTCACTAACAAACCACCAGTGGACTCTGCAACTGTTCGAAGAAGACACATAAATGAAAATACGGGTGAACTATTTATGGGAATGATAAACTTTGAGAATGCATCGTATTCTACTGTAGATGAACTGTTTAACTCTGTCACCTCTAGTGTTTTGAATGTTCTGGATACCGTTGCCCCTGTGAAGGTTAAAATAGTGAAAAATAAGCAGAAGGCGCCGTGGGCTAAAGCAGACTCGGTCAGGGCACAAAAGAGAGAGTGCCGGAGGGCCGAGCGGAAGTGGCGCAAATCCAACCTCCAGGTTGATTACGAGATCTTCAAGGATAAGTTTTGCGAGTTTAACCGGGTGCTACGTAGTACGAGAGAAAGGTATTTTTCTGAAATGATTGAAGGCTGCGGCAACAATCTGTGTGTTCTGTTCTCAACAGTTAATAGATTAACAAACCCCCCTGTTCAAATGCCATTAGAGCTTACTTCCAAACGTAAATGTAATGAGTTTGCACATTTTTTCAATGACAAGGTTCAAGGCATCAAAAACGCCATTGTCTCCAAGCAGTAGCAGCAGCAGTAGCAGCAGTAGCAGCAGAAGTAGCAGCAGTAGCAGCAGCAGCAGCAGCAGCAGCAGTAGCAGCAGCAGTAGCAGCAGCAGTAGCAGCAGCAGCAGTAGCAGCAGCAGTAGTAGCAGTAGCAGCAGCAGCAGCAGCAGCAGTAGCAGCAGTAGTAGCAGCAGCAGCAGCAGCAGTAGTAGCAGCAGCAGCAGTAGCAGCAGCAGCAGCAGTAGCAGCAGCAGCAGTAGCAGCAGCAGTAGTAGCAGTAGCAGCAGCAGCAGTAGCATCAGTAGCAGCAGCAGCAGTAGTAGCAGCAGCAGCAGCAGCAGCAGTAGCAGCAGCAGCAGCAGTAGCAGCAGTAGTAGCAGTAGCAGCAGTAGCAGTAGCAGCAGCAGCAGTAGCAGTAGCAGCAGCAGTAGCAGCAGCAGTAGTAGCAGCAGCAGTAGCAGCAGTAGCAGCAGCAGTAGTAGCAGCAGTAGCAGCAGCAGCAGCAGTAGCAGCAGCAGCAGTAGCAGCAGCAGCAGTAGCAGCAGCAGCAGTAGCAGTAGCAGCAGCAGTAGCAGCAGCAGTAGTAGCAGTAGCAGCAGTAGCAGCAGCAGCAGTAGCAGCAGCAGCAGCAGTAGATGTTGGTACTTTTTAAAATGACAGATTGTTTGTTGTTATTTGCAGACTTCATCAAACTGTTGGATAACTACGAGATGTCGACGGGAGTGGGCGAGACCGTGACCCACGAGGAGCTGGCGGAGAACAGGCGCTTCATCGACGCCATCGTGGAAACAGACGTGATGAAGGTCGGCCATCTTTGTCAATGTAGCGCATTTCACAAACCAAGGCCAATGTCATGGACCACAGACATTTGTCCATTCACTCCACACATATCTCGCTTACGATCAGACCTATTAGCAATAGAAGGAACCGGAGCACCTGGAGGAAACCTATCCAAGGCACATGGACACAGGAGCTTCTTGCTGTGATACAGTACACACGTTTTGGCCGCGGCGCAAGGTGCAAGAACTATACTGAGACTGGACGGGATTTCTTTAAACGGTCCAACTGAGGTTCCTCGCGAAGGTGTGGAGGAGGAGCTTGGAGTAGAGCCGCTTAAATTGTTGAGGGAGTAGGGGTGGCTACGCAAGGGTCTTACGGTAATCCTTGTGTTGGTCAAGTGACGAGAGCCCAGAGAGAGACCAGAGAGAGAGAGACCAGAGAGAGAGAGACCAGAGAGAGAGACCAGAGAGAGAGACCAGAGAGAGAGACCAGAGAGAGAGACCAGAGAGAGAGCCCAGAGAGAGCCCAGAGAGAGCCCAAAGAGAGCCCAGAGAGAGCCCAGAGAGAGCCCAGAGAGAGCCCAGAGAGAGCCCAGAGAGAGAGCCCAGAGAGAGAGCCCAGAGAGAGAGCCCAGAGAGAGAGCCCAGAGAGAGAGCCCAGAGAGAGAGCCCAGAGAGAGCCCAGAGAGAGAGCCCAGAGAGAGAGCCCAGAGAGAGAGACCATCATTAAAGCTCTGGTCTGTGTTTCCAGCGTGCTCATAATTAAAGCTCTGGTCTGTGTTTCCAGCGTGCTCATAATTAAAGCTCTGGTCTGTGTTTCCAGCGTGCTCATAATTAAAGCTCTGGTCTGTGTTTCCAGCGTGCTCATAACTACCTGGTGAGGAAGGGTCAGTCTTCTTCAAACACCATGGATTTCAAGAAGCAGCTCTACAACATCTGGTTCAGACTGTACCACAGAGAGAGAGGAGGCGGGTGAGCAGACACCAGGGGGCGCTGTCTCTGAAGCAACTAGACAGGGGTGCACAGAACTGGTACACATGAATCATAATATATCACAGAATCGAATCACATACTGTCTGTATCGCAATATTTTTAGAATCACATTAAAATTAAATATCACCTACTACCGAATTATCACATTTGTTCTCCTCCTGGTATTGTCCTGGTCTCATTGTCCTGGTCTTATTGTCCTGGTGTCGTTGTCCTGGTGTCGTTGTCCTGGTCTCATTGTCCTGGTCTCATGTCCTGGTCTTATTGTCCTGGTCTCATTGTCCTGGTCTCATTGTCCTGGTCTCATTGTCCTGGTCTCATTGTCCTGGTGTCGTTGTCCTGGTCTCATTGTCCTGGTCTCATGTCCTGGTCTTATTGTCCTGGTCTCATTGTCCTGGTCTCATGTCCTGGTCTTATTGTCCTGGTCTCATTGTCCTGGTCTCATTGTCCTGGTCTCATTGTCCTGGTCTCATTGTCCTGGTCTCATGTCCTGGTCTCATGTCCTGGTCTCATTGTCCTGGTCTCATTGTCCTGGTCTCATTGTCCTGGTCTCATTATCCTGGTCTCATGTCCTGGTCTCATGTCCTGGTCTCATGTCCTGGTCTCATTGTCCTGGTCTCATGTCCTGGTCTCATTGTCCTGGTCTCATTGTCCTGGTCTCATGTCCTGGTCTCATGTCCTGGTCTCATGTCCTGGTCTCATTGTCCTGGTCTCATGTCCTGGTCTCATGTCCTGGTCTCATGTCCTGGTCTCATTGTCCTGGTCTCATGGTCTCATTGTCCTGGTCTCATTGTCCTGGTCTTATTGTCCTGGTCTCATTGTCCTGGTCTCATTGTCCTGGTCTCATTGTCCTGGTCTCATGTCCTGGTCTCATGTCCTGGTCTCATTGTCCTGGTCTCATGTCCTGGTCTCATGTCCTGGTCTCATTGTCCTGGTCTCATGTCCTGGTCTCATTGTCCTGGTCTCATGTCCTGGTCTCATTGTCCTGGTCTCATGTCCTGGTCTTATTGTCCTGGTCTCATTGTCCTAGTCTCATGTCCTGGTCTCATTGTCCTAGTCTCATGTCCTGGTCTCATTGTCCTAGTCTCATGTCCTGGTCTCATTGTCCTAGTCTCATGTCCTAGTCTCATGTCCTGGTCTCATGTCCTGGTCTCATTGTCATAGTCTCATGTCCTAGTCTCATGTCCTAGTCTCATGTCCTGGTCTCATGTCCTGGTCTCATGTCCTGGTCTCATTGTCCTGGTCTCATGTCCTGGTCTCATTGTCCTGGTCTCAATGTCCTGGTCTCATTGTCCTAGTCTCATGTCCTAGTCTCATGTCCTGGTCTCATGTCCTGGTCTCATGTCCTGGTCTCATTATCCTGGTCTCATGTCCTGGTCTCATGTCCTGGTCTCATGTTCTGGTCTCATGTCCTGGTCTCATGTCCTGGTCTCATTGTCCTGGTCTCAATGTCCTGGTCTCATTGTCCTAGTCTCATGTCCTGGTCTCATTGTCCTGGTCTCATGTCCTGGTCTCATTTCCTGGTCTCATTTTCCTGGTCTCATGTCCTGGTCTCATGTCCTGGTCTCATGTCCTGGTCTCATGTCCTGGTCTCATGTCCTGGTCTCATTGTCCTGGTCTCATGTCCTGGTCTCATTGTCCTGGTCTCATGTCCTGGTCTTATTGTCCTGGTCTCATTGTCCTGGTCTCAATGTCCTGGTCTCATTGTCCTAGTCTCATGTCCTGGTCTCATTGTCCTAGTCTCATGTCCTGGTCTCATTGTCCTAGTCTCATGTCCTAGTCTCATGTCCTGGTCTCATTGTCCTAGTCTCATGTCCTGGTCTCATGTCCTGGTCTCATGTCCTGGTCTCATTGTCCTGGTCTCATGTCCTGGTCTCATTGTCCTGGTCTCAATGTCCTGGTCTCATTGTCCTAGTCTCATGTCCTGGTCTCATTGTCCTAGTCTCATGTCCTAGTCTCATGTCCTGGTCTCATGTCCTGGTCTCATGTCCTGGTCTCATTATCCTGGTCTCATGTCCTGGTCTCATGTCCTGGTCTCATGTCCTGGTCTCATGTCCTGGTCTCATGTCCTGGTCTCATTGTCCTGGTCTCAATGTCCTGGTCTCATTGTCCTGGTCTCATGTCCTGGTCTCATGTCCTGGTCTCATTGTCCTGGTCTCAATGTCCTGGTCTCATGTCCTGGTCTCATTGTCCTGGTCTCATTTTCCTGGTCTCATGTCCTGGTCTCATGTCCTGGTCTCATGTCCTGGTCTCATGTCCTGGTCTCATGTCCTGGTCTCATTGTCCTGGTCTCAATGTCCTGGTCTCATTGTCCTGGTCTCAATGTCCTGGTCTCATTGTCCTGGTCTCAATGTCCTGGTCTCAATGTCCTGGTCTCATGTCCTGGTCTCATGTCCTGGTCTCATTGTCCTGGTCTCATGTCCTGGTCTCAATGTCCTGGTCTCAATGTCCTGGTCTCATTGTCCTGGTCTCAATGTCCTGGTCTCATGTCCTGGTCTCATGTCCTGGTCTCATTGTCCCGGTCTCAATGTCCTGGTCTCATTGTCCTGGTCTCATGTCCTGGTCTCATGTCCTGGTCTCATTGTCCTGGTCTCAATGTCCTGGTCTCATTGTCCTGGTCTCAATGTCCTGGTCTCATGTCCTGGTCTCAATGTCCTGGTCTCAATGTCCTGGTCTCATTGTCCTGGTCTCAATGTCCTGGTCTCATGTCCTGGTCTCATGTCCTGGTCTCATTGTCCCGGTCTCAATGTCCTGGTCTCATTGTCCTGGTCTCATGTCCTGGTCTCAATGTCCTGGTCTCAATGTCCTGGTCTCAATGTCCTGGTCTCATGTCCTGGTCTCATTGTCCCGGTCTCAATGTCCTGGTCTCATTGTCCTGGTCTCATGTCCTGGTCTCAATGTCCTGGTCTCAATGTCCTGGTCTCATGTCCTGGTCTCAATGTCCTGGTCTCAATGTCCTGGTCTCAATGTCCTGGTCTCATTGTCCTGGTCTCAATGTCCTGGTCTCATGTCCTGGTCTCATGTCCTGGTCTCATTGTCCCGGTCTCAATGTCCTGGTCTCATTGTCCTGGTCTCATGTCCTGGTCTCAATGTCCTGGTCTCAATGTCCTGGTCTCATGTCCTGGTCTCAATGTCCTGGTCTCAATGTCCTGGTCTCATTGTCCTGGTCTCAATGTCCTGGTCTCATGTCCTGGTCTCATGTCCTGGTCTCATTGTCCCGGTCTCAATGTCCTGGTCTCATTGTCCTGGTTTCATGTCCTGGTCTCATGTCCTGGTCTCATTGTCCTGGTCTCAATGTCCTGGTCTCATTGTCCTGGTCTCAATGTCCTGGTCTCATGTCCTGGTCTCATGTCCTGGTCTCATGTCCTGGTCTTAATGTCCTGGTCTCATTGTCCTGGTCTCAATGTCCTGGTCTCATGTCCTGGTCTCATGTCCTGGTCTCATTGTCCCGGTCTCAATGTCCTGGTCTCATTGTCCTGGTCTCATGTCCTGGTCTCAATGTCCTGGTCTCAATGTCCTGGTCTCAATGTCCTGGTCTCATGTCCTGGTCTCATTGTCCCGGTCTCAATGTCCTGGTCTCATTGTCCTGGTCTCATGTCCTGGTCTCAATGTCCTGGTCTCAATGTCCTGGTCTCATGTCCTGGTCTCAATGTCCTGGTCTCAATGTCCTGGTCTCAATGTCCTGGTCTCATTGTCCTGGTCTCAATGTCCTGGTCTCATGTCCTGGTCTCATGTCCTGGTCTCATTGTCCCGGTCTCAATGTCCTGGTCTCATTGTCCTGGTCTCATGTCCTGGTCTCAATGTCCTGGTCTCAATGTCCTGGTCTCATTGTCCTGGTCTCAATGTCCTGGTCTCATGTCCTGGTCTCATGTCCTGGTCTCATGTCCCGGTCTCAGGCAGGACTCGTGTGGCTTCGAGCATGTGTTCGTGGGAGAGACCAGGAGGCACCAGCAGATCCTGGGGCTCCACAACTGGGTCCAGTTCTACCTCCAGGAGAAACACGGCCACATCGACTACAAAGGCTACAAAGCCCGAACGCACAAGGACACGGTGAGATTACTCTACTCTACTCTACCCTACCCTACCCTACCCTACTCTACTCTACTCTACCCTACCCTACCCTACTCTACTCTACTCTACCCTACCCTACCCTACTCTACTCTACTCTACTCTACTTTACTCTACTCTACCCTACCCTACCCTACCCTACCCTACTCTACTCTACTCTACTTTACTCTACTCTACCCTACCCTACCCTACCCTACCCTACCCTACCCTACCCTCTACTCTACTCTACTCTACTCTACTCTACTCTCTACTCTACTCTACTCTACTCTACTCTACTCTACTCTACTCTACCTACCCTACCCTACCCTACCCTACCCTACCCTACCCTACCCTACCCTACTCTACTCTACTCTACTCTACTCTACTCTACTCTACTCTACTCTACTCTACTCTACTCTACTCTACTCTACTCTACTCTACTCTACTCTACCCTACCCTACCCTACCCTACCCTACTCTACTCTACTCTACTTTACTCTACTCTACCCTACCCTACCCTACCCTACCCTACCCTACCCTACCCTACCCTACCCTACTCTACTCTACTCTACTCTACTCTACTCTACTCTACTCTACTCTACTCTACTCTACTCTACTCTACTCTACCCTACCCTACCCTACCCTACCCTACCCTAACCTGCTTTGAGGCCATACCTGCAGGTGAAAGCTAGATCCTGTCTGATCTCTGAAGCTAAGCGGGGCAAGGCCTGGTTACTGCTGTGATGGGAGACCTCTGGGAACAGCAGGTGCCACAGTGGGGTGGCTGCGGCTGTAAAATGCCAGACTGTGGTTGTGTCCTTAGGCAAGACACTTCCCCCACATTAGAATGAGTCTGGTGTGTGTGAATGGTTGGTGGTGGTCGGAGGGGCTGATGGCACAGACTGGTTGGCTCGCTTCTGTCAGTGTGCCCTAGGGCAGCTGTGGCTACAGTAGTAGTTTAACACAACTGTGTTTGTAGAGAAAGAGAATAATGAAGTGAAGAGACTTTGAGCGTTTATAAAACTGATGCTATATTATCATTACTCTTCTCTTCTCTACTCTACTTTTGTTCTACTCTACCTGGTGGTGTTTCCACTACACGTTAGTATCTGGTACTGTATCCTTGCAACTTATCCACAGCAAAATAGTATCAGGGGAAATTCCTTGGTAACCATGGCTCCCAGCAGCACTTTAGTACCGGGTCGGCCTGGATAGAACCAGGACCAAGAGGGACTAAAGAAGGACCGGGTGCCTTTAAAATGATTGTGACATCTCTGTTTTCAGCCCGATGAAGATGACCATGTGTTAAACCTTCAGTTCAGCTGGAGGGGCCTGGTCAAACCTGTGGCCGGTTCCTTCATCGGCGTCAGTCCCGAGTTTGAAGTGGCGCTCTTCACCATCGTCTTCCTCATGTCCGACGAGAAGATGACGTCTGTGGAGGTGAAGATCGACGAGTACGTTCTGGCTCTGATCGTTCACCGCTACGGCAGATCCATCGGCACGTCCTACCCCAAACTCCTCAGCAGCAACCACCAGGATCTGTAGCAGCAAATCTGATCTCACCAAGGAATCAACAAGTCACGGGCAGGACGATAGATGGATAGATATAGATAGATAGATAGATACCTAATTGATGAGAAAAGCAGGTGTCAGACTTTGGCTTAGAGAGGTGAGCGTAGGACTAGAGCAGGGGTGTCTAACTCAATTTGGGTGGGGGCCAAATTTAAACATTAGAGCTGGTTGGGGCCAGAAGTATAAAAGTGGTTTACTTTAATAATATTTTGTTTTCGTTTTTGTATTTAACACAAGTTTAGATATGAGTTTCTCACAGGATTGGATTCAACCACAGCTGGGCTAAATAGTAATAGACTGATAAATATGAAAAATAAATAGATAAAACACTATAACTAGCCATGACTGCTGCAAGTTACTGTGATAAAGATATAGTTTAAAATCATTTCAGGGGCCATTAAAATTGTTCTTGTGAGCTGGATTTGGCCCATGGGCCTGAGTTTGGCATGGCTGGACGAGTGCATAGAAAGTAGGGGCAGAAGTTAGAGGTAAAGGGAGGACTGGGGCGTAGACTGTGTATGAGGAGTGGACTGACAGAGTGTGACATCACCACAGTGTTAGCCTTAATGTGGAAGAAGCCGATTTGAACATAAGCTAGCTGGAGCCAGTTTCCTTATATGGGCATGTGTTCGGATGACGTGAGTTTTTTGCGTCATAATCTGATTGGTCCATCCGTACATGGCCCATATCTGTATTTACAAAGGCAATATCACAATACCAACACTATACTGGAGTTTACTTTTACGTGTAAGTCAATAGGAACAAAACTGCACCATGAGCACTTCCCTATTGGGCGTCATTAAGATAGCGGGTTAGCATTGTCCATCTATATTCAGTCTATGGACTAGGGTTAGGTTGAGGGTTCAGAATATGGCCCTGGACTGTTGGTTACTTGGTGAAGTGTAACTGTAGTAGCTTTGCATGGATTTACTCACACTAATAGTTCCGTGGCTTAAAGGTTAACTATATAACTTTTCTGTTAGCTTGTTAGCTTGTTAGCTTGTCACAATGTATGTCATAAAGTGAAACTATACAGTATTTTGATTATTGTGGGAGTCGCAAATAAACAATTACCGTGATTGTTGGACTATAAGTCTCTACATTTTAAAGTTCGTGGCCAATGTATGTCGTCTGAAAACTGGTTTGAATAACCCCGCTTTACATCAAAGGGCTGAGTGGCTGCAGGTTTTCAATCCAACCAAGCAGGAGCACAGTAGATCCATTTCCTCAGGTCTCCATGTTGACAATAGGACTCCCAGAATTTGTAGACTTCTAGAACCCCCAGAGCAGTCCTTTTGATGGCTCCCAGTCAATTTAATTCTGAATAATCTCCAAAATCTCTCCTTTTTAAATGAAGTGAAGAAGATGACATAGTCTGGGATCGCGTCTTTCATTCAGACAGAAGACATGTTTTATTGTCGATGGTAGAGACAGCACGAACAACACGAACAACAGAATGCAAGTGTATTATACAGAGCGGAGGCATGGAGACCTCCAATCAGCAGCTGCCACAGTGCCATGTAGCTTGGCCTTCAGATAGACAAAACAAGGGAAAAGTACTGGCTTCTGCACATTGATAGAATGATGAGTTTCACTTAACAAAAGTTGCTTCAAAGTGTTAGGAAATCTCACAAAAGGAATTCATATTTGTCTTATCTGGTTAATCTAACTCAACAGCGTAGATTTGCGTGTTGAGTGTGTGGACATGTGTGTGGACACTAATATTTGGTGAGGACTAAAATGTCCTCCCCAAATATAAGATGATGTCTCTGTCCAAATCCACGGTGTTTATTCATACGCCTCCTCCTCGCCTCCAGAGCAGCGTCACGTGACCAGCTCATCTCTGCAGGGATTGTCTTCCTCGCTTGTGCACGGAACCAAGGAGGCTTTTAAACCCGGAAACTCACTGTTTTGTTTTATAAATAATACAGTTTTTGTCATATTCAAATTAGTCAATCAATGTGTGTTTTTTTTTTCAAATATACACAAATTTTGATTCCCTTCATTAATTGTCAACCCCTTTATTAGTCCATTTCTAGGTCGAGGAGTGACACAGCCATGGTCTTTCAGCAGGGGCTTCGGGCAATGTGGGATTGCCTTGTGTTTTGCCTCTGCCAGACATGTGTTTTTATGACATCTGCTCTGGCATCTTTCACGTTTCTGCTATAAGGCAGTTTCTGGGACCTTTTCTGGTGGATTTACCTGTATTTGATAGAAACAAATGGAAAGTAGAGGACCACCCAACATGACACAGAGGACCAGAATTGGTTTGGACATGCCTGGACTAAGGACAGTGTTCATCCTGCTCCCTATGAACCGATGGCTCCTGTATATGTGTTTGTTATCAAGTCCCCTGAGACATCTGCCATATGATTTAGGGTGATACACAAATACATTGAAATGATTTTAATACAACAACATATTTTTCTTTTATTCATTTTAGTTGTTAGCAATTTTATGTTGTATTAATTCCGTTATTCTAATGAATATAAAACATTATTATTATTATTAATAATAATAATAATAATAATAATAATAATAGTAGTAGTAGCAGTAGTAGTAGAATCAATGTCATTAATATTATTCTTATGATTATTATTTTTGTTGATGTTTAATCATTATTAGTTTTCTCTCTCCACCTGACAGTCAACGCTGAGGGAAAATGTGTGCACACCTCCGTCTGCGCATGCGTACTCCGACAAACCCGTGAACATGTAAATCACCTCAGCAGTCAGACAAACAACACAAACTCATGACTCTACGCATAAACAGGAGAACCTCGCTACTTTCCTGACATTTCAGCCCCGTACGTATCATTCCAACCACATCCCGAAACCACCGGTGTTGTTTCTGCTGTTAAACTTTTATATTTGGGTCTTGTGTTTAGCTAACTAGCTGCTAGCCGCGTGTGCTAACGTCACTTGACAGCAGCCGTGTTGTGACCAGAAGTGACCTGTCAAAAACTCACCACCGCCCTGACTGGACCTACTTTAACCTGTATTTAATTCACTGTGAGGTTCTTTTGAAACTACCAGACTTCAGACAATATAGGTTAAGGCTTGCTTGTAATTGTTGGTTTATTATTGAAGAATAAATTGTCATAAAATGTGAGTTGTTTACATATGACTCGGATGCCTTGCGCTTATGTTTAATGAATTACTACTAATATCTCTGTGTCCGCTCATGTTATAGAGATAGAGGGACCAGAGGGAGAGACCAGAGAGACGGAGAACAGAGAGCGAGAACAGAGAGAGAAAGAGAGAGAACAGAGAGAGACCAGAGAGAGACCAGAGAGAGACCAGAGAGAGACCAGAGAGAGACCAGAGAGAGACCAGAGAGAGACCAGAGAGAGACCAGAGAGAGACCAGAGAGAGACCAGAGAGAGACCAGAGAGAGACCAGAGAGAGGGGAAAACTAACTTTACATCAATGGTGCAATGTGCTTCTCTATATCAACTTGTTTCATTAGGTTCTTGTCCAAAGATGCTAACATTTCTTAAAAAGCACAGTACAAACTCTAACCTGGATGGATAGTACTGGAAAATGTTTAAAAGAGTGTGTTGGTTGGTTTGTATTGCTTTGGGATTGGTGTCTGAAGCCCAGAGGCACATGACGACATATCACGTGGTCTCTACAAGCCGCATTGTTGACATAACTCAATAATGTGGTGTCTTCTCGTCCAAAGGGTTTGATTCTTGTTCAACTCGGAGAGAGAGCGGCGACATGTTTGGGAAGAAGAAAAAAGAGCCAGCATCGCGAGGCCAAGGCGCTGCAGCTGCCAGACAGGTCCGATAATAACAAATATGACACATTCTCATTCAGTATTTTAATAAACACTCAGATTTCTATGAAGAGGGTCTGGAAAGTCTCTGTATAGTTGTGTGTGTTGTCATTGGTGGATTGTGGCTCTCCCTGGATTCAGATGGGGCTGTTCATGGACCCAGAGGAGATGATGAAGGGGATGGAGGAGCACCTGGAGGAAAACCTGGACGACCCGGATCTGGAGGCAGAACTGGCAGCAATCACCGGAGGGAAAGCTTTAGCCAGAGGGAGAGCCAAGCCCAAAGGGAAAGGTGAAGTGTGTGTGTGTGTGTGTGTGTGTGTGTGTAGGTCTGAGTTCTGCGTTAGTGTATGCGTGGGTCTGTTTTTATATATGTACATGTAAGTGTAGTGCATATGTGAATATTTGTGCGTTTATGTGTGTATGAGTGTCTGTGTGTGTGTTTGTGCATATTTGTGAGTGTGTATCCTTATCTGAAGACAAAGACATGTTATTTATATAGCACATTTCATACAAGAAACTATGAGAATCTTGTAACTGTAAATCAATACAAACAGTATTTTGTGAAATCGCTCACTTTACATGTCATTATTCTTTCACTCCAAACACGGTGGTGATAAACTACTACTGTAGCCACAGCTGCCCTGGGGCACACTGACAGAAGCGAGGCAACCAGTCTGTGCTATCAGCCCCATTATCACACACCAGACTCATTCTAGGCAATGTGGGTGAAGTGTCTTGCTTAAGGACACAACGGCAGTTTGGCACTTTACAGCCGCAGCGGCCCCACTGTGGCACCTGCTGTTCCCAGAGGTTAAGTGTCTTGCCCAAGGACACAACGACAGTAGTCAGTGGGAGTCGGTGGTGAAAGTCTTGAGGTGGGCTCAAAGGTCATGGGTACGGGCCCAGTTCGGGCCCAGTTGGTAGAGCCAATGCTCTACCAACTGAGCCACTGTCGCCTCAAATTAATTGCAAAGCTGCTGTTCACATGCGATTCCTCATCTTTAAACCATGAAGGTTTAACTTTGACTCTGTTCCACAATGACAGCTCCGTTGCCGATGGAGGACATCGCTCGAATGGCGGACGAATGTTTGAGAGACGTGGAGGACGACGACAGTGATGACGATCCGGAAGATGATGAAGATCTGTTGGTTTGTTCTGATGATCCACATGGTTTTATCCTAATCATGCATTTGAGCAAAGCTTTAAAAATAATCTGAGAAAAAAAGCCTGATTCTTGCTGTGTCTCTGTTGTGGGTCTCCAGTCAGCGAGAGACCAGAGAGAGACCAGAGAGAGACCAGAGAGAGACCAGAGAGAGACCAGAGAGAGACCAGAGAGAGACCAGATAGAGACCAGAGAGAGACCAGAGGGAGACCAGAGGGAGACCAGAGGGAGACCAGAGGGAGACCAGAGGGAGACCAGAGGGAGACCAGAGGGAGACCAGAGGGAGACCAGAGGGAGACCAGAGGGAGACCAGAGGGAGACCAGAGAGAGACCAGAGAGAGACCAGAGAGAGACCAGAGAGAGACCAGAGAGAGACCAGAGAGAGACCAGAGAGAGACCAGAGAGAGACCAGAGAGAGACCAGAGAGAGACCAGAGAGAGACCAGAGAGAGACCAGAGAGAGACCAGAGAGAGACCAGAGAGAGACCAGAGAGAGACCAGAGAGAGACCAGAGAGAGACCAGAGAGAGACCAGAGAGAGACCAGAGAGAGACCAGAGAGAGACCAGAGAGAGACCAGAGAGAGACCAGAGAGAGACCAGAGAGAGACCAGAGAGAGACCAGAGAGAGACCAGAGAGAGACCAGAGAGAGACCAGAGAGAGACCAGAGAGAGACCAGAGAGAGACCAGAGAGAGACCAGAGAGAGACCAGAGAGAGACCAGAGAGAGACCAGAGAGAGACCAGAGAGAGACCAGAGAGAGACCAGAGAGAGACCAGAGAGAGACCAGAGAGAGACCAGAGAGAGACCAGAGGGAGACCAGAGGGAGACCAGAGGGAGACCAGAGGGAGACCAGAGGGAGACCAGAGGGAGACCAGAGGGAGACCAGAGAGAGACCAGAGGTTGAGAGACCAGAGGTTGAGAGACCAGAGGTTGAGAGACCAGAGGTTGAGAGACCAGAGGTTGAGAGACCAGAGAGAGAGACTAAACATTTACGATCATAAATGACTCCTCGGTGTAATGCATGTGTGTAATGTTCAGGCAGAGCTTCAGGAAGTGGTGGGTGAAGAGGATGAAGAAGAAGAGGAGGAGGAGGAAGAGTCGAGTGAAGCCGGGACTCCAAATACTCCAGCACTGGTACGAAACACTGTTAACGCAGGGATTCAGAGAGTGCATTATCGGTACAAGGCCATGGGGAAAGAAAACAGAACATGCAAAACTAGTTTGTTGTTTAAGAAATGTATTTTTCTAGCAACAATATTCACATTCGTGAATAAATCCAAATGTATTCTTGTAATATAGATTAAAACATATTTTCTCTGTTTTGGAGCAGTTTGGTCGATTACACGGGAGTAAAGTTATGATAGAATCTTTACGCTTTAGAAATACTAAGAGAATACACTGTATGAAGCATCTGGATGATTTCCCTGTGATTCTGTATTCAGCAGCAGCCTCCTGAAGCTGCTGTGTCCTGTACTGCCCCCCCCGCGGCCCCTGCCTCCCCCATGGCCCCTGCCCCCCCCGCGGCCCCTGCCTCCTCCGCGGCCCCCGGCTCCCTGCAGCACACTCTGGAGGAACGGCTCTGCATGTATCAAACTGCTCTGAGGAACGCCACCGCAGCAGGAGACGCCTCCAAAGTCAGGAGACTCCAGCGAGGGATCAAGGTGAGACCAGCACTTTGTAACAAGCACTTTATTACTGGTTATATTACTACACTCTCTCTCTGGTATCTCTGGTCTCTCTCTTGTCTCTTCCTCTGGTCTCTCTCTGGTCTCTCTCTTGTCTCTTCCTCTGGTCTCTCTCTGGTCTCTCTCTTGTCTCTTCCTCTGGTCTCTCTCTGGTCTCTCTCTGGTCTCTCTCTTGTCTCTTCCTCTGGTCTCTCTCTGATCTCTCTCTGGTCTCTCTCTTGTCTCTTCCTCTGGTCTCTCTCTTTTCTCTCTCTCTGGTCTCTCTCTTGTCTCTCTCTCTGGTCTCTTCCTCTGGTCTCTCTCTGGTCTCTCTCTTGTCTCTCTCTCTGGTCTCTTCCTCTGGTCTCTCTCTGGTCTCTCTCTTGTCTCTTCCTCTGGTCTCTCTCTGGTCTCTCTCTCTCTCTGCTCTCTCTCTGGTCTTTCTCTGGTCTCTCTCTGGTTTCTCTCCGGTCTCTCTCTGGTCTCTCTCTGCTCTCTCTCTGGTCTCTCTCTGGTCTCTCTCTGGTTTCTCTCCGGTCTCTCTCTGGTCTCTCTCTGCTCTCTCTCTGCTCTCTCTCTGGTCTCTCTCCGGTCTCTCTCTGGTCTCTCTCTGTTCTCTCTCTGGTCTCTCTCTTGTCTCTCTCTGGTCTCTCTCTGGTCTCTCTCTGGTCTCTCTCTGGTCTCAGTGAGTGATCTTGTTTTTGTTTATGGCTCTCTCCAGTCCATCCAGTCTATGTTGACGGCGGTGAAAAAGGGTCGGCCTGTGAATGAGGCAGAGATCCCTCCTCCCGTAGCGACCGGAGCTCCACGGCCAGCTCCACCCGCACCCAGCCCTTCCTCAGACTCAGCCCCAGCCCAGGCCTCTGTTCCCGGGGAAGAGTCTGAGGCCCCGTCCCCCTCTACAGCCGCATCAGAGACCAGAGCGGAGCCCAGGGCAGAGAGGGAGCAGGCCACTTCAGAACCTACCCACAATGCATTGCCAGAGGAAGAGCCAAGCAGTGCTGGAGGTAGAAGTCCAGTCACTGGTGTATGGCAGGGGTGATGTGTTCTAAAATATCACTAAATCAAGAAAAGACATCCGTGAAGTATCAGCTGTATGTTTTAACTCACTCACCTAAGACGAGAGAGAGACGAGAGAGAGACGAGAGGGAGACGAGAGGGAGACGAGAGGGAGACGAGAGGGAGACGAGAGAGAGACGAGAGAGAGACGAGAGACCAGAGAGAGAGACGATGGAGAGACGAGAAAGGGGAAGAAGAGATAGACGAGAGAGAGAAATGGGAGAGGCGAGAGAGTGAGACGGGAGAGGGATGGAGACAAAGGAGAGACGAGAGAGAGACGAGAGAAGCCAAAGGGAGAGATGGAGACGAGAGAGAGACGAGAGAAGCCAAAAGAGAGATGGAGACGAGAGAAGCCAAAGGAGAGATGGAGACGAGAGAAGCCAAAAGAGAGATGGAGACGAGAGAAGCCAAAAGAGAGATGGAGACGATAGAAGCCAAAGGAGAGATGGAAAGCATGAGAGAGACGGGAGAGAGATGAGAGGGGCATGCTACTGGTGTTTCTCCGCTCAGTTCGACAGGTCTGCTTATGTCCTGGTTAATTAACTAATTAAGTTAACTAAACTGTACCATTACAGACTTTCACTGGTGCTTTGAGAATGTAATTGTGTTTCCTGTGTTCTGGATGAAGGAGCAGGAAATGAAGCCACTCGGACGCTGCTTCTGGACAGACAGAAGGAATACAAGATGGCCGCCCTGACAGCAAAGAGACAGGGAGACAAGGAGCAGGCAATGCAGCTCTTCAGGATCAGCAAGGTGAGAGACCAGAGAGTAGAGAGAGAGTAGAGAGCAGAGAGAGAGAGAGAGTGGAGAGAGGGATCGGAGCGAGAGAGAGCTCTAGTTTTTCAGCTGTCCTCCACTAAAACAATGTTAAATTATCGGCTCTCTATTGAAATGTTGTAATCATATAATACTAAACGAGTCGAAGCAAAACTTTGTCTATGAGCACTTTTTTTTGATAAAACTGTGTATTAATGAACAGGAGTAACTGTAAATACACCCGTTTGCAGCTTTGTGTCGCTACTTTTCATGTGTACAGTACAGACCTAAAGTTTGGACACACTTTCTCATTCGATGAGTGTCCTTTCTTTTCATGACTATTGACTGTGGACCCACACCAGGCTGTGAGAGAGATGGTGCTGGGCCACATGACCTCCACAGTCACCGGACCTGAACCCAGTCCGGACCACAGAGTGAAGGGGCCAACAAGTGCTAAGCATCATGGGAACTCCTTCCAGACTGTTGAAGACCATTTCAGGTCCTGTTGAAGCTCATCCAGAGAAAGCCAAGAGTGAAGCAGTATCAGAGCAAAAGGTTCTACTTTGAGGAACCAGAATATAACACATATTTACAGTAATTTCATACTTTCTTTTTTAGTTTGTACATAATTCACATGAGTTCATCATAGGTTTGATGCCCTCAGTGTGAATCTACAATTTTCATAATCATGAAAATAAAAAACTCTTTGAATGAGAAGGTGTGTCCAAACTGTCTGTACTGTATACAGGCTATAGTTCAATCTTATTATTCTGTGTGGAGTTTGCATGTTCTCCCCCCGTCTGCGTAAGTTTCCTCCGTGTGCTCCGGTTTCTCCTACCACTAAAAACATGTCCATTCTCTTTAGGGGTTTGATGGATTGTTGGAGGCGTTGGGGAGAGGAGAGACATTGGACCTCAGTAATCTCCCTCCGTCTCCAGGACACGGTGCTGACGCAAAACTAAGGCCTTTAAACCAGTGTCTGTCATAATGATTTTAATACAGTTTTGATCTGCAGCACCTGGAGGAAACCCTGCTGTGGAAGAACCTCCTAAAACTACACCACCGACGCCCTCTGCTGCTCCAGGTAATTCAATTAAATTAAATTCAATGTTTTTGTGTATGACCCTAAATCACAACAGCAGACGTCTGACCCAGGACTGAGGCTGCAGATCCAGGACTGAGGCTGTAGATCCAGGACTGAGGCTGTAGATCCAGGACTGAGGCTGTAGATCCAGGACTGAGGCTGTAGATCCAGGACTGGGGCTGTAGATCCAGGACTGAGGCTGTAGATCCAGGACTGAGGCTGTAGATCCAGGACTGGGGCTGTAGATCCAGGACTGAGGCTGTAGACCCAGGACTGAGGCTGTAGACCCAGGACAGAGGCTGTAGACCCAGGACCGAGGCTGTAGATCCAGGACCGAGACTGTAGACCCAGGACTGAGGCTGTAGACCCAGGACTGAGGCTGTAGACCCAGGACTGAGGCTGTAGACCCAGGACTGAGGCTGTAGACCCAGGACTGAGGGTGTAGACCCAGGACTGAGGGTGTAGACCCAGGACTGAGGGTGTAGACCCAGGACTGAGGCTGTAGACCCAGGACTGAGGCTGTAGACCCAGGACTGAGGGTGTAGACCCAGGACTGAGGGTGTAGACCCAGGACTGAGGGTGTAGACCCAGGACTGAGGCTGTAGACCCAGGACTGAGGCTGTAGACCCAGGACTGAGGCTGTAGACCCAGGACTGAGGCTGTAGACCCAGGACTGAGGCTGTAGACCCAGGACTGAGGCTGTAGACCCAGGACTGAGGCTGTAGACCCAGGACTGAGGCTGTAGACCCAGGACTGAGGCTGTTTATAATCTTACACTGAACAAAAACAATAACGTATATGTGCATAACAGATATTGGTAGATATCATTTGAAAATGATGTATATTTTCTCGGTCCTCAGTGGCCCCGCCCCCTGCTCCTCCTAAAGACGCTCTGGAAGCTCTGGAGCAAAGAAAAGCCAAGTATCTGGAAGCTTCGACTCAGGCCAAAGCCAACGGGGACGAACGCAAGGCTCGAATGCACGACCGCATCGCTAAGGTACTTATAGAGACGAAAGGGAGACGAGGGAGGCGAGAGAGAGACGAGAGAGAGACGAGAGAGAGACGAGAGAGAGACGAGAGAGAGACGAGAGAGAGGCGAGAGAGAGACGAGAGAGAGACGAGAGAGAGACGAGAGAGAGACGAGAGAGAGACGAGAGAGAGACGAGAGAGAGACGAGAGAGAGGCGAGAGAGAGACGAGAGAGAGACGAGAGAGAGACCAGAGAGGGAGACGAGAGGGAGACGAGAGAGAGACGAGAGAGAGACGAGAGGGAGACGAGAGGGAGACGAGAGGGAGACGAGAGGGAGACGAGAGGGAGACGAGAGAGAGACGAGAGAGACGAGAGAGAGACGAGAGAGAGACGAGAGGGAGACGAGAGGGAGACGAGAGGGAGACGAGAGGGAGACGAGAGAGAGACGAGAGAGACGAGAGAGAGACGAGAGAGAGACGAGAGGGAGACGAGAGGGAGACGAGAGGGAGACGAGAGAGAGACGAGAGAGACGAGAGAGAGACGAGAGGGAGACGAGAGGGAGACGAGAGGGAGACGAGAGGGAGACGAGAGGGAGACGAGAGAGAGACGAGAGAGACGAGAGAGAGACGAGAGAGAGACGAGAGAGAGACGAGAGAGAGACGAGAGAGAGACGAGAGAGAGGCGAGAGAGAGACGAGAGAGAGACGAGAGAGAGACCAGAGAGGGAGACGAGAGGGAGACGAGAGAGAGACGAGAGAGAGACGAGAGAGACCTGAAAGTATCTGAAATTATGTCATCCCCACAACAAACCAGTATCCAGGGTCAATATTTTGGGAACCATGGCAACAGCACTCTGGCCAATCACTGTCAGTTAGAACACTTTAGGTCCCGCCTCCTGGAGCAGGGCCATTACAAACTGAGGCCCTGTTTATACTGAGACGCTGCGCAGACGTTTACAGAAACGACCAGGCTCCTAATGCAAATTTCTCAGCGTTCACATGAGGTTGAAAAACGATGTAGTTCTAGCTAAGTTGTCCCACTCTGCAGGCTGGATCTGAACACATAAGTTTTGACCCCCCTGGAACACAGTCTCCGTATGAACGGTTGGTAGAAACCGACATCCAACTATATCGTTTTACTGCCACATTGTCTCCGTGTAAACTCAGCCTGAGCTACAGTCTTTAGAACTGGTCTTTTCTTTGTTCATTTCTCGTTCTTCTCCCTCACAGCAATACCAGAGCGCCATTCGGGCGCACAAGGCCGGAAAAGCTGTTAATTTTGACGAGCTCCCAGTTCCTCCGGGTGAGTGGAATTCAATTTCTCTGGTCGAGACGAGAAACTAGAGAGAGACCAGAGAGCTCTATACTCCTACAACTTTTCAGCTTTCCAGTATATACTAAAATTAGTATACCCAATTTTTTTTCTATTGAGTTAATAAAAAGAACTACATACAAGTTGTATAAAAACTGTAATTTAATTGAAAACTGGAGCTCATTGATTCAGCATAGCAAGTGCTGAGATGACTTTTAGCGTGACGCCCGCTCTCCTCCAATCACAGAGCGAGGCTGCGTCCTCTAGCCTCTACAGCGCTGCTAAACACAGTAGCATGTTAGCATAAGTGGCTATAACTCCTCTGGCTGTAACTGCAGACACAGCAAAACAGCCCAAACACACAACAGTGAGGAAGAGAAGAGGAACTAAAGCCAAAACATGATCAAAGAAGAAACCAAGCCCTGAACAGAGCTAGCTTACATCGTATCCTCTGGAGCAGGGGTGCTCAATACGTCGATCGCGATCTACCAGTCGATCGCAAAGGTAGTATTGGTAGATCGCATTAAATAAATGAAAAAATTACACATTCTAAACAAATATATACAAAAAACTCCGGGCAAAGTGGAGATTTTTGAAAACTCTGTTAATGCATTTGTGTGTAGACAGAGATAACCAGAGTTTTGCGTTCTCGCACGCCAAAGTACCCCCCTAAATTCCTCTGATCACTGAAGCATGGATCATACTACCTTAAAAACTGTTCGCTGTGAGATGCTCGCAGCAGCGAACATCCTCCACATCAGAGAGCAGCAAAGTGATCGGACTCACGCTCGAAAACAACCAAACCAGGACTAAACCAGGACTAAACCAGGGCTGAGGACGGGGTCAGTGCTTGTAAACATACGTCTTTACTCTGAGTGTCTTCTATGACTGTAAAAGTGCCGTTACCGGCGTCTGCATCAAAGCTCCGCCCACTTCTGTGTTTTTCCCCAACGCAGGACAGGACGTAAGAGACGCACATGTTTGGAATGTTACGAATGTGACTGATAACGCAAATGTGTGGATGCAAATTATTTTATAAACGGAGGAGGGGAAATATTTGGATTTAAAAAAAATAGGCATGGCACATGGACATGGCACCACAGTCAAATGACATCTGTGTTTTACTCAGTAATGTTTTACTGACACTTAGGTGACTGCACATGCGCAAACAACCGCGCTCAGTGCAGGAAAGCTAAACCACGACAAACTTGTCAGCGAGTTACCACCAATTTTCCGGACTATGCCTCCCTGGCCGATTCAATTCAGTGCAAGTCATCAGAGTAAACTCGGGTAATGACAAAAAATGTACATAGGTGTTGTGTTGTGCTATATTGGCTCATGCAGTTTTGCATGTACATAAACATACATTGTAGGTATACAGAATATTTTTTGAAATAAATATATGATTTGCATTTTTGTAGTAGGTAGATCATTTTGACTTGATCCTTTTATAAGTAGCTCGCATGCTGAAAAAGTGTGAGCACCCCTGCTCTGGAGAGACTGGTCTATGGGAGAGACCTGCGGGACCGCCTCGGACTATCTACGCTCGGACTGTCTATGCTCGGACCACATTTCAGCTATATATTTTGTTAGCGTTGCTTTTGTTCCATTTCATCAGTGATTGTTGTACAGCTTAAGTTGCGCTAATGCTAATGTATCAGATCGCAAATACAACTATATGGCTCCGTGGGAGGAGAGCGTGGGGGAAATGAGAAGCCTGTGAGCGAGTTGGTTAACATTATGTTAAAATGCATCTATACAAGTCAGACTTCTACGATACTGACCATTTTATTGTTGTGCACTTGACAAAGACAAAATAAACGTTGTATTCTTTTCCATTATCTCACATTTCTCAGGTTTCCCTCCGATCCCAGGACAGAAGCCTCCGGAGGCAGAGCAGGGCCTCGCGGTGGCTCTGGAGCAGGCTCAAAAACTGGCTTCTGCTGATGTCAACGAAGCAGCAGCAGACGAGGAGGGAGACGAGGGAGACGAGGGGGAGGTCAGCTTTGTGAGGCTTTGGCAGTATGTCCAAGCCCAGATCATCAGAGGCTTGTGTTTTCTGTCTAATGCTGTGTTTACACCATTTTTGTATCTGTAGAAAGATACCAGCTTTTTATACAATACTGGAAATTAAACATAAAACCATAAACGAGAGAGGCCAGAGAGAGAGAGAGAGGCCAGAGAGAGAGAGAGAGAGGCCAGAGAGAGAGAGAGGCCAGAGAGAGAGAGAGGCCAGAGAGAGAGAGAGGCCAGAGAGAGAGAGAGGCCAGAGAGAGAGAGAGGCCAGAGAGAGAGAGAGGCCAGAGAGAGAGAGAGGCCAGAGAGAGAGAGGCCAGAGAGAGAGAGAGGCCAGAGAGAGAGAGAGAGAGGCCAGAGAGAGAGAGAGACCAGAGAGAGAGAGAGGCCAGAGAGAGAGAGGCCAGAGAGAGAGAGGCCAGAGAGAGAGAGACCAGAGAGAGAGAGAGGCCAGAGAGAGAGAAAGGCCAGAGAGAGAGGCCAGAGAGAGAGAGAGACCAGAGAGAGAGAGGCCAGAGAGAGAGAGGCCAGAGAGAGAGAGAGGCCAGAGAGAGAGAGGCCAGAGAGAGAGAGGCCAGAGAGAGAGAGGCCAGAGAGAGAGAGAGGCCAGAGAGAGAGAGGCCAGAGAGAGAGAGGCCAGAGAGAAAGAGAGGCCAGAGAGAGAGAGAGACCAGAGAGAGAGGCCAGAGAGAGAGAGAGACCAGAGAGAGAGAGGCCAGAGAGAGAGAGGGGCCAGAGAGAGAGAGAGGCCAGAGAGAGAGAGAGGCCAGAGAGAGAGAGAGGCCAGAGAGAGAGAGAGGCCAGAGAGAGAGAGAGGCCAGAGAGAGAGAGAGGGAGACCAGAGAGAGAGAAAGGCCAGAGAGAGAGAGAGGCCAGAGAGAGAGAGAGGCCAGAGAGAGAGAGAGGCCAGAGAGAGAGAGAGGCCAGAGAGAGAAAGAGGCCAGAGAGAGAGAGGCCAGAGAGAGAAAGGCCAGAGAGAGAGAGGCCAGAGAGAGAGAGAGGCCAGAGAGAGAGAAAGGCCAGAGAGAGAGAGTCCAGAGAGAGAGAGTCCAGAGAGAGAGAGAGTCCAGAGAGAGAGAGAGGCCAGAGAGAGAGAGAGGCCAGAGAGAGAGAGGCCAGAGAGAGAGAGAGGCCAGAGAGAGAAAGGCCAGAGAGAGAGAAAGGCCAGAGAGAGAGAGGCCAGAGAGAGAGAGAGGCCAGAGAGAGAGAGACAGGCCAGAGAGAGAGAGAGAGAGAGGCCAGAGAGAGAGAGAGGCCAGAGAGAGAGAAAGGCCAGAGAGGCCTGAGAGAGAGGCCAGAGAGAGAGAGAGAGAGGCCAGAGAGAGAGAAAGGCCAGAGAGGCCTGAGAGAGAGAGGCCAGAGAGAGAGAGAGGCCAGAGAGAGAGAAAGGCCAGAGAGGCCTGAGAGAGAGAGAGGCCAGAGAGAGAGAGAGAGAGGCCAGAGAGAGAGAGAGAGAGAGAGAGAGAGGCCAGAGAGAGAGAGAGAGAGAGGCCAGAGAGAGAGAGAGAGAGAGAGAGGCCAGAGAGAGAGAGAGAAAGAGGCCAGAGAGAGAGAGAGAAAGAGGCCAGAGAGAGAGAGAGAGAGAGGCCAGAGAGAGAGAAAGGCCAGAGAGGCCTGAGAGAGAGAGGCCAGAGAGAGAGAGAGAGAGGCCAGAGAGAGAGAGAGAGAGAGAGAGAGAGGCCAGAGAGAGAGAGGCCAGAGAGAGAGAGAGAGAGAGAGAGGCCAGAGAGAGAGAGAGAAAGAGGCCAGAGAGAGAGAGAGAGAGAGGCCAGAGAGAGAGAGAGAGAGAGAGAGAGGCCAGAGAGAGAGAGAGAAAGAGGCCAGAGAGAGAGACAAATATGATCTGGTGTTGTGTGTGAGTTGACTCCCATTATCTCTGTTTGTTTTGAAGCCAGAGGAGCCTAAAAAGCTGCTTCTGGACCTGCCCCCAGCTCCACAGAAGAAGACTCCATCACCGGACAGAAGCTCACAGAAGGACAGCCCCTCCCCCACAGGTGAGACGCAAGTACTCACAAACACAGCCCCTCCCCCACAGGTGAGACACACACACACAGCCCCTCCCCCACAGGTGAGACGCAAGAACTCACAAACACACTCACACCAACATCTCCATCTTTAGGTCTTTAAACTGTGGGTGAAACTGTTCTAGCCTTTTTGCTGCTAACCATGACTGAAGAAATGACAATAAACATATTTTATACTGGTATGATGTTGAAGGGATGTGTGAAACTGAAACAAAGCCATAGCATTTGGGAGCCAAAGATCAAGGAGGGGAGAGAGAGGGGAGACAGAGAGGAGAGAAATGTAGAAAGTTAATTTTGTCTTCACATGTTAAAGGCTTAGGCTATATCCACACGAAGACAAAACGCTTATAATTTCAGAAACTTTTTCTGTAAACACGGAGTTAGCTCAGTAAATGTGTGCGTCAATACGCCTGAAAACGCTGTGAAACTATGCCAGACCTGTTGGTGGCGCTGTGACGCAATGACGGGATCAAGCCCAAACTTCCGTGGGCATGCGCGGAATTTTGTAAACAGACAACATGGCGAGTGGGCGAGCTGGTACTACATTAGTATGGACGGACGATGAGGTTGAACTGTTGCTTCGGGTCGCACTGGATTACAAAACCAACAAGCTACATTGTTGTTGTCATTATTTTCTGAGTGCGGCGCATGCGTGCTTTAACAAGAGGCGGGGCGATGACGCAAGCGTCTCAGATACATTGCGGAGAGGCAGTAACCACGGAGCGGCATATACGGAGTTTTGAAATCTTTCCACTCTGGGACCTAGTTTCAAAAATGTTCGTTTACACCCCCCCAAAACGCCGGCCTCGTATGGACGATACACTGGATTGATAAAGTATTTTTGCGTTTAGGCCTGAGCTTGACTTCGTGTGGACAGGGCCTAAGATGGTTCTTATAATATGAAAAGGAGACAGGAGAGGACGGAGAGAAGAGGGAGAAGAGGTGGGGGAGGGAGAGAGAAGGAAGAGAGGCAAAGGAGAGATGGGGAGAGGAGGAAGAGAAGAGCGGTATAATTTTGTGTGTATGAACACTTATGGAAACAGGAGAGCAGAGAGAGATCCTAAAGATGGAAGCAAATATTTTTGAGAACAAGAAGACAGATTTTTTACATATGCGGTTTTTATAAAACATGTACATTTTCATACATTTTTGCATTTTTTAAGCCTTTTTTCCTGGCTCTATTTTTTTTATTATTGTGAAGTTTCCGTCTCAATTAATTTGGTCTGTGCTCCTCCATCCTCCAGGGGCGGAGCAGCTGGTGCTCCTGGAGAACAGGAAGAAGCAGCTCCTGAAGGCGGCGCTTCAGGCCAAACACAAGAACGACCTGGATCAGGCCAAGACTCTGCTGCGGAGAGCCAAGGGATTAGAACCCATGATCGAAGCAGCACGAGAAGGCAGAGCTGTGGACACGAGTCAGGTGAGAGACATAGAGACACAGAGAGAGATAGAAAGAGACGGAGAGAGAGACAGAGAGAGAGAGAGAAGGAGAGACAGAGAGAGAGACAGAGAGACAAAGAGAGAGACACGTAGCTGAGTATCTGCTAAACCGCAGATATGGTTCTTCGTTTGCACCTGTCATCCACATGACAACACATCATAAACAAAAATATAAAAACACCTTTGGGCAAAGTGGCGATTTTTGGAAGCTCTGTTTATGCATTTGCTGTAGAGAGAGATAACCGGAGTTTTGCGTTTTTGCACAGTCTGCTCCAAAACAACAAAACACCTCTGATCACTGAAGAAGGATCTTACTGCCTTAAAACCTGTTCACTGCAGGACAGGAGCTAAACCAGGAGCTAAACCAGGACTAAACAAGGACTAAACCAGGACTAAACCAGGACTAAACCAGGACTAAACCAGGACTAAACCAGGACTAAACCAGGACTAAACCGGGACTAAACCGGGACTAAACCGGGACTAAACCGGGACTATACCGGGACTATACCGGGACTATACCGGGACTAAACCGGGACTAAACCGGGACTAAACCGGGACTAAACCGGGACTAAACCGGGACTAAACCGGGACTAAACCGGGACTAAACCGGGACTAAACCAGGACTAAACCAGGACTAAACCAGGACTAAACCAGGACTATACCAGGACTATACCAGGACTATACCAGGACTATACCAGGACTATACCAGGACTATACCAGGACTATACCAGGACTATACCAGGACTATACCGGGACTATACCGGGACTATACCGGGACTATACCGGGACTAAACCGGGACTAAACGCAGCCTGAGGATGGGGTCAGTGCTTGTGAACATATGTCTTTACCCTGAGTTTCTACTATGACTGTAAAGTGCGCATACAGAAGAACCGGCGTCTGCATCAAAGCTCCGTCCACTTTTTCCCCAAACGTCAGAGACGCACAAGTTTGGAATGTTACGAATGTGACTGAAAAAGCAGATGTTCGGTTATGTGTGGATGCAAATTATTTTATAAACGGAGGGGGGGAAATACCCGTCTACATGTGGACATGGCACGAGAGCCAGAGGCCAGAGAAATCTAAAGACAACTAAAGCCGTAAATGTTGAAGTTGTCTGTGTCTGGTGTAGATCCCGTCTCCTCCCGGCGACGAAGACGACGACTTCATCATCGTTCATCACAGCGACGTCCAGATCTCAGAGAAGTCAGAGGAAGTTTACACTCAGCTCATAAAGATCCTGAAGGACCAGTACGAGGTCAGTGCTAACACAGGACCATGTGAGAGAGACCAGAGAGAGACCAGAGAGAGACCAGAGAGAGACCAGAGAGAGAGACCAGAGAGAGACCAGAGAGAGACCCAGACAGAGAGAGACCAGAGAGAGACCAGAGAGAGAGACCAGAGAGAGAGACCAGAGAGAGAGACCAGAGAGAGAGACCAGAGAGAGAGACCAGAGAGAGAGACCAGAGAGAGAGACCAGAGAGAGAGACCAGAGAGAGAGACCAGAGAGAGAGACCAGAGAGAGAGACCAGAGAGAGAGACCAGAGAGAGAGACCAGAGAGAGAGACCAGAGAGAGACCAGAGAGAGACCAGAGAGAGACCAGAGAGAGACCAGAGAGAGACCAGAGAGAGACCAGAGAGAGACCAGAGAGAGACCAGAGAGAGAGACCAGAGAGAGAGACCAGAGAGAGAGACCAGAGAGAGAGACCAGAGAGAGAGACCACAGAGAGACCAGAGAGAGACCAGAGAGAGACCAGAGAGAGAGACCAGAGAGAGAGAGAGACCAGAGAGAGAGAGAGACCAGAGAGAGAGAGACCAGAGAGAGAGAGACCAGAGAGAGAGAGACCAGAGAGAGAGAGACCAGAGAGAGAGACCAGAGAGAGAGACCAGAGAGAGAGAGACCAGAGAGAGAGAGCAGAGAGAGGCAGAGAGAGACCAGAGAGAGACCAGAGAGAGAGAGACCAGAGAGAGACCAGAGAGAGAGACCAGAGAGAGAGAGACCAGAGAGAGAGAGAGACCAGAGAGAGAGACCAGAGAGAGAGAGACCAGAGAGAGAGAGAGACCAGAGAGAGAGAGACCAGAGAGAGAGAGACCAGAGAGAGAGACCAGAGAGAGAGACCAGAGAGAGAGACCAGAGAGAGAGACCAGAGAGAGAGAGACCAGAGAGAGACCAGAGAGAGACCAGAGAGAGAGACCAGAGAGAGAGACCAGAGAGAGAGAGAGACCAGAGAGAGAGAGAGACCAGAGAGAGAGAGACCAGAGAGAGAGAGACCAGAGAGAGAGACCAGAGAGAGAGACCAGAGAGAGAGACCAGAGAGAGAGAGCAGAGAGAGAGAGACCAGAGAGAGAGAGACCAGAGAGAGAGAGACCAGAGAGAGAGAGACCAGAGAGAGACCAGAGAGAGACCAGAGAGAGAGACCAGAGAGAGAGACCAGAGAGAGAGACCAGAGAGAGACCAGAGAGAGAGACCAGAGAGAGACCAGAGAGAGACCAGAGAGAGACCAGAGAGAGAGACCAGAGAGAGAGACCAGAGAGAGACCAGAGAGAGAGACCAGAGAGAGACCAGAGAGAGACCAGAGAGAGAGACCAGAGAGAGAGACCAGAGAGAGAGACCAGAGAGAGAGACCAGAGAGAGAGACCAGAGAGAGAGACCAGAGAGAGAGAGAGACCAGAGAGAGAGAGAGACCAGAGAGAGAGAGAGACCAGAGAGAGAGAGAGACCAGAGAGACCAGAGAGACCAGAGAGAGAGAGAGACCAGAGAGAGAGAGAGAGACCAGAGAGAGAGACCAGAGAGACCAGAGAGAGACCAGAGAGAGACCAGAGAGAGACCAGAGAGAGACCAGAGAGAGAGACCAGAGAGAGAGACCAGAGAGAGAGAGACCAGAGAGAGAGAGACCAGAGAGAGAGAGACCAGAGAGAGAGAGACCAGAGAGAGAGAGACCAGAGAGAGAGAGACCAGAGAGAGAGAGACCAGAGAGAGTGAGACCAGAGAGAGTGAGACCAGAGAGAGTGAGACCAGAGAGAGTGAGACCAGAGAGAGTGAGACCAGAGAGAGTGAGACCAGAGAGAGTGAGACCAGAGAGAGGGAGACCAGAGAGAGAGAGACCAGAGAGAGAGAGACCAGAGAGAGAGAGACCAGAGAGAGAGAGACCAGAGAGAGAGAGACCAGAGATAGTGAGACCAGAGAGAGAAGTTTCTTCTCAGGCTGCTGCGACACGGCAGCGGATAAAGCGTCAGAAAATGGATGTGTGGAAGTGACTTGTTTTCTCTCTTTAGAAATGTATGAACCACTCACAGCAGTTTACTCACCTCGGCAACGTCACACAGACCAGCAAGTGAGTGTTCCCACTATATATGTTTAATTCAGGGAGTCACACACACACACGTACGCGCACACGCACGTGCACGCGCACACGCACGCGCACGCACACGCACACGCACACGCACACGCGCACACACACACACACACCAGCAAGTGAGTGCGATAACTCTATGTTTAATCCAGGGAGTAAGACACACACACACACACACAGAGAGAGACAGACACACACAGACACACAATATGATCATGAGAGTGTTTACTTTGTCACTTCATGTTTGTAGAAAGTAAAATAATGGTAAATCGGCACATTCTTTGTGGCAATAACCCTCCATTTCCTGTCAATTCCTGGACTGCCTTGCATTATCTCCCCACAGATCTAACCAATTCAATCATCTGAAATCTGATACATTTGAACAACTACGAACAAACAAAAGGGGAAATCCGTGTTTGTAATTCCAACGACAGCTGTGGACACTTTTCTATCATTGGTTTTCTTGTAGGTTTGAGAAAATGGCCGCCAGCTGCAGGAGCGGTCTGGAGGAGCTGAGGCTGAGCCAGAGTCAGGGCCTGCCGCCTCCAAAGCACCACTTTGAGGAGAGAGCCTTCCACACGGCCGGGTAACAGCACACAGGGATTAAAGCTGGGGGACCTAACTTTGGCGCAACATGATGCAGTGTGTTTGTCCCAAAAGAGTCTTGTTTCTCTACTGTACTCTACTCTACTCTACTCTACTCTACTCTACTCTACGATATCCTACCCTACCCTATTCTACTCTACCCTACTCTACTCTACTCTACTCTACTCTACCCTACCCTACTCTACTCTACTCTACCCTACTCTACTCTACTCTACTCTACCCTACCCTACCCTACCCTACCCTACTCTACTCTACTCTACTCTACTCTACTCTACTCTACTCTACTCTACTCTACCCTACTCTGCTCTACGATATCCTACCCTATTCTACTCTACCCTACCCTACTCTACCCTACCCTACTCTACTCTACCCTACCCTACCCTACTCTACCCTACCCTACTCTACTCTACTCTACCTTACTCTACCATACTCTACTCTACCCTACCCTACCCTACTCTACCTTACTCTACCCTACCCTACTCTACTCTACTCTCCCCTTCTCTACTCTACCCTACTCTACTCTACCCTACCCATCTCTACTCTACCTTACTCTACTCTGCTCTGCTCTGCTCTACCTTAATCTACTCTACCTTACTCTACCCTACTCTACTCTACCCTACTCTACTCTACTCTACTCTACTCTACTCTAATAATAGTAATAATACATACTGTTTTCTCTGTTTTCAAAGTTAGGTACCCCAGCTTTAACTTGCACAAAGGCTTCTGTTAAAAACTTATGATTAAACACATTTTCTGTTGCGTTTGTTTGTCTCAGTATCTTCCCAGAGCTGAGCAGCACAGAGATGGTGGTCGTTATTGTCAAAGGGATCAACTTACCTGCCCCTAGTGGTAAGAACAGAGTACTGCAGGGACTGGAAATATAAATGTGATTTTATCATTTATATTTCTCTTTTTGGCAGGAATTCAGACCAACGACCTGGACGCATTTGTCAAGTTTGACTTCCCCTTCCCCAGTGCGGTAAGAGACCTGAGAAGGAGAGAGATCAGAGAGAGAGAGACCAGGACACAGAGAGAGATCAGAGAGAGAGAGACCTGAGAGGGAGAAAGATCAGAGAGAGAGAGACCAGGACACAGAGAGAGATCAGAGAGAGAGAGACCAGGACACAGAGAGAGACCTGAGAGGGAGAGAGATCAGAGAGAGAGAGACCAGGACACAGAGAGAGATCAGAGAGAGAGACCTGAGAAGGAGAGAGATCAGAAAGGGAGAGAGACTGGTAGGGCTGGGCGATATGGCTGAAAACTATATCACGATATAAGTCATTCATATCGGTCGATAACGATATATATTGAGTTTTTTTTTTTAACCTAAATAAATATATTTGTGGTGTGGGCTAACCAACCTTAGCAGCCTTGTTTACAGTCACGGGGCGATGAGGCTGGAGGAATATGTTCACACTGTGTCCCTCGTTGTTAGTCCTGGTTTAATCCTGTTTTTTTATTCCTGGTTTAGCTCCTGGTTTAGCTGTTTGAGGGTCTTGTGTCCCCGTGACCGCTCCGTGTGGCTCTCTGTGCCGCACATGCTTCCCGAGGAAAAAGTTAATCTCTTGCTTTTGCCGAATACATCGTGTCTGTCCACTGCCTCTGCCGCCGCACATGTTATTCCGCGCACGTACGTGCATAACCATTGACACGGCATTGAAACACGAGCTATAGATCCACGGACGCTACGCATGCTGCGGTTGTTGTTGTTTTTGCATTTCCCAGAAAGTTTTGCGGTTCCTGCTCGGCTGTTATTGGTCGAGAAGCCTCTGCCTACATCCCCCACAATGCCATGCGCTTATGAGTCGGCTTTACTTCCGGTGTTTTCTTCCTGTTTTTCCTGACGGAGTTAAGTTAAACTATCGAACATTCTATCGACCCCATTCTCTATTGATATCGAACACATGTCTATCGCAATATATATCGTTATCGTTTTATCGCCCAGCCCTAGAGACAGGTACCAGAGAGAGAGAGAGAGAGAGGAGAGAGAGACCAGAGAGAGAGGAGAGAGAAAAGAGAGATATATCAGAAAGAGAGAGAGATCATTTGTATTTTGTTGTTTTCCAGGAGCAGCCACAGAGACACAAAACTACTGTGGTCAAGAACACCAACTGTCCAGGTGAGAAAGACACTCTGCTCTACTCTACATGCTCTACATGCTCTGCTCTATATGCTCTACATGCTCTACATGCTCCACATGCTCTATATGCTCTACATCAGGGGTCGGGAACCCAAAATGTTCAAAGAGCCATAATTGACAAAAAAACTAAAAACAACATCTGTCTGGAGCCGCAAAAAAATAACAGCCTTGTATAAGGCTTTTATGAAGTTAACACAGGCTGCAAGATGTATTAGCTATATTAGCCTAATATCTAAATGACAAAGTAAAGGCTACAAATACATAATAATCATTCATGATTATCAAATGTGTATTTTCACTGCAGCGTGTCGTGAATGCTTTAGTTTAACTTCCATTTTTTTTGCCTTCATGCAATTGTAGAAATACAGTAAATAAATCTGCTTTGGGCTCAGAGGTCACATACCTGCATCACTGTCTGCTCATATCCATCACGTCACAGGCTGAAGTTTGCTGGAGCTGAATTAAAATCCTTAATGGCCTTTTCTTTCACCGTCTTTGAGAAGGTTTTGAAGTCTGAAAATAGGTGCTCTGAATTTTTGATGAATGAATCCTTCACGTAATCACCGTTTACGTCGTTTTGCGCGTCATTGTTCCTCGTGTTGCAACAAAACTTTTCATTACAAACATGAAGCAGTCCTTCCTCATTGACTGAAAGAAAATGTTCATTCTCATTCTTAGTCCAGTCTTGTTATCGACTCTTTCTCGTTTTAGCTTACAGTCTATGACTGACTTACAGGCTATGGGTTTGTTTACAGCAGCGGCCACATGGGGCGGGGCCGCGTGACCGCGCGTCATAGGATATGACGCACTACGTTGACAGAAATGTTGAAATTAAGATATTACTTATACATATTTTTACAGCTTTTAAAAACGTAAAGATTGTTTTTCCTCCTACAGAAACCACATTCAAACTAGAAATAAAATATAGCCCTCACACTCCATTTTCAGACATTTTTGAAAAGGCTCCAGGAGCCACTCCAGGAGCACTCAAGAGCCACATGCGGCTCCGGAGCCGCTGGTTGCCGACCCCTGCTCAACATGCTCCACATGCTCTACATGCTCTACATGCTCTACATGCTCTACATGCTCCACATGCTCCACATGCTCTATATGCTCTACATGCTCTATATGCTCTACATGCTCCACATGCTCTACATGCTCCACATGCTCTACATGCTCCACATGCTCTACATGCTCCACATGCTCTATATGCTCTACATGCTCTACATGCTCCACATGCTCTACATGCTCCACATGCTCTACATGCTCCACATGCTCTACATGCTCCACATGCTCCACATGCTCTATATGCTCTACATGCTCCACATGCTCTACATGCTCTACATGCTCCACATGCTCCACATGCTCTACATGCTCTACATGCTCTACATGCTCCACATGCTCTACATGCTCTACATGCTCTACATGCTCCACATGCTCTATATGCTCTACATGCTCCACATGCTCTACATGCTCCACATGCTCTACATGCTCTACATGCTCTACATGCTCTACATGCTCTACATGCTCTACACGCTCTACATGCTCTACACGCTCCACATGCTCCACATGCTCCACATGCTCTATATGCTCTACATGCTCTACATGCTCCACATGCTCTACATGCTCTACATGCTCCACATGCTCTACATGCTCCACATGCTCTACATGCTCTACATGCTCCACATGCTCCACATGCTCTATATGCTCTACATGCTCCACATGCTCTACATGCTCCACATGCTCTATATGCTCCACATGCTCTACATGCTCCACATGCTCTATATGCTCCACATGCTCTACATGCTCCACATGCTCTACATGCTCCACATGCTCTACATGCTCCACATGCTCTACATGCTCCACATGCTCTATATGCTCTACATGCTCTACATGCTCCACATGCTCTACATGCTCCACATGCTCTACATGCTCCACATGCTCCACATGCTCTATATGCTCTACATGCTCTACATGCTCCACATGCTCTACATGCTCTACATGCTCCACATGCTCTACATGCTCCACATGCTCTACATGCTCTACATGCTCCACATGCTCCACATGCTCTATATGCTCTACATGCTCCACATGCTCTACATGCTCCACATGCTCTACATGCTCCACATGCTCTACATGCTCCACATGCTCTATATGCTCTACATGCTCTACATGCTCCACATGCTCTACATGCTCCACATGCTCTACATGCTCCACATGCTCTACATGCTCCACATGCTCTACATGCTCCACATGCTCCACATGCTCTATATGCTCTACATGCTCCACATGCTCTACATGCTCTACATGCTCCACATGCTCTACATGCTCTACATGCTCTACATGCTCCACATGCTCTACATGCTCCACATGCTCTACATGCTCTACATGCTCCACATGCTCTATATGCTCTACATGCTCCACATGCTCTACATGCTCCACATGCTCTATATGCTCTACATGCTCTACATGCTCTACATGCTCTACACGCTCTACACGCTCCACACGCTCCACACGCTCCACATGCTCCACATGCTCTATATGCTCTACATGCTCTACATGCTCCACATGCTCCACATGCTCTACATGCTCTACATGCTCCACATGCTCTACATGCTCCACATGCTCTACATGCTCTACATGCTCCACATGCTCCACATGCTCTATATGCTCTACATGCTCCACATGCTCTACATGCTCCACATGCTCTATATGCTCTACATGCTCTACATGCTCTACATGCTCTACATGCTCTACACGCTCTACATGCTCTACACGCTCCACATGCTCCACATGCTCCACATGCTCCACATGCTCTATATGCTCTACATGCTCTACATGCTCCACATGCTCTACATGCTCCACATGCTCTATATGCTCTACATGCTCCACATGCTCCACATGCTCTACATGCTCCACATGCTCTACATGCTCTACATGCTCTACATGCTCCACATGCTCTACATGCTCTACATGCTCCACATGCTCCACATGCTCTACATGCTCTACATGCTCTACATGCTCTACATGCTCCACATGCTCCACATGCTCCACATGCTCTACATGCTCTATATGCTCTACATGCTCTACATGCTCTACATGCTCTACATGCTCCACATGCTCCACATGCTCCACATGCTCTACATGCTCTACATGCTCCACATGCTCCACATGCTCCACATGCTCTACATGCTCTACATGCTCCACATGCTCCACATGCTCCACATGCTCTATATGCTCTACATGCTCTACATGCTCTATATGCTCTACATGCTCCACATGCTCTACATGCTCCACATGCTCTACATGCTCCACATGCTCTACATGCTCTACATGCTCTACATGCTCCACATGCTCTACATGCTCCACATGCTCCACATGCTCTACATGCTCCACATGCTCTACATGCTCCACATGCTCCACATGCTCTACATGCTCTACATGCTCTACATGCTCCACATGCTCTACATGCTCTACATGCTCCACATGCTCTACATGCTCCACATGCTCCACATGCTCTATATGCTCTACATGCTCTACATGCTCTACATGCTCCACATGCTCTATATGCTCTACATGCTCTACATGCTCTACATGCTCTACATGCTCTACACGCTCTACATGCTCTACATGCTCTACACGCTCCACATGCTCCACATGCTCCACATGCTCTATATGCTCTACATGCTCTACATGCTCCACATGCTCTACATGCTCCACATGCTCCACATGCTCTATATGCTCTACATGCTCCACATGCTCTACATGCTCTACATGCTCTACATGCTCCACATGCTCCACATGCTCTACATGCTCTACATGCTCTACATGCTCTACATGCTCTACATGCTCCACATGCTCTACATGCTCCACATGCTCTACATGCTCCACATGCTCCACATGCTCTATATGCTCTACATGCTCTACATGCTCCACATGCTCTATACTCGCTGACAAATTTGTCGTGGTTTAGCTTTCCTGCACTGAGCGCGGTTGTTTGCGCATGTGCAGTCACCTAAGTGTCAGTAAAACATTACTGAGTAAAACACAGATGTCATTTTACTGTGGTGCCATGTCCATGTGCCATGCCTGTTTTTTTTTAATCCAAATATTTCCCCTCCTCCGTTTATAAAATAATTTGCATCCACACATCTGCGTTATCAGTCACATTCGTAACATTCCAAACATGTGCGTCTCTTACGTCCTGTCCTGCGTTGGGGAAAAACACAGAAGTAGGCGGAGTTCTGATGCAGACGCCGGTAACGGCACTTTTACAGTCATAGAAGACACTCAGAGTAAAGAGTAAGACGTATGTTTACAAGCACTGACCCCGTCCTCAGCCCTGGTTTAGTCCTGGTTTGGTTGTTTTCGAGCGTGAGTCCCTGCGATCACTTTGCTGCTCTCTGATGTGGAGGGTGTTCGCTGCTGCGAGCATCTCACAGCGAACAGTTTTTAAGGTAGTATGATCCATGCTTCAGTGATCAGAGGAATTTAGGGGGGTACTGTGGCGTGCGAGAACGCAAAACTCTGGTTATCTCTGTCTACACACAAATGCATTAACAGAGTTTTCAAAAATCTCCACTTTGCCCGGAGTTTTTTGTATATATTCGTTTAGAATGTGTAATTTTTTATTTATTTAATGCGATCTACCAATACTACCTTTGCGATCAACTGGTAGATCGCGATCGACGTATTGAGCACCCCTGCTCTATATGCTCTACATGCTCTACATGCTCTATATGCTCTATATGTTCTACATGCTCTATATGTTCTACATGCTCTGCATGCTCTATATGTTCTACATGCTCTACATGCTCTGCATGCTCTACATGCTCTACATGCTCTGCATGCTCTACATGCTCTATATGCTCTATATGTTCTACATGCTCTACATGCACTGCATGCTCTACATGCTCTATATGTTCTACATGCTCTATATGCTCTACATGCTCTACTCTAATGTTGTGTCGTTGCAGAATACGATCAGAGCTTCACGTTGACGATAAACAGAAACCATCGAGGCTTCAGGCGGCTGGTGACGTCCAGAGGCTTAAAACTGGAGCTATACCATAAAGGGTGAGGCTCCGGACACCAGCAAACACCAGTAAAGGAAAGGGAAAGAGGATGTGTTTGTGGAGCTGACTTTTTAAACTAACATTAACTGTAATAAAATCCATGTATCTCGTCCCTCGCTCTAAAACCAGTTTGATTTTAGCACTAGTTTCCACACGTCCTACACACAGTAGGACTCTTGAGTTCATTGATCCGTCCCTATGTCTAAACCAGGCCTTAGAGTGGAGGTAAGTGTCTTGCTCAGGGACACAACCACAGCAGACATCAGTGGAAGCAGACGGAGAAGGTCTCGTGGGGGAACCAAACCCACGACCAACAGGCCCAAAGACCAATGCTGCACCAACTGAGCCACTGTGGCACCTGGTGTTTCCAGAGGTCTCCCATCACAGGACTAACCAGACTCTGCCCTGCTTAGCTTCAAAGCTCTGGCATCTTTTTGATGTGAAACGTGCCCACCAATATTCCAGCAGGAACATGTCAAACTAAATAATCAAAACAAATGTCTGACTTTCAAAATAAGTCTAAAGTCCCAGCACGGTCCCGGGACCAGAGGGAGTCCAGAGAGGGAGTCCAGAGAGGGAGTCCAGAGAGGGAGTCCAGAGAGGGAGTCCAGAGAGGGAGTCCAGAGAGGGAGTCCAGAGAGGGGAGTCCAGAGAGGGGAGTCCAGAGAGGGGAGTCCAGAGAGGGGAGTCCAGAGAGGGGAGTCCAGAGAGGGGAGTCCAGAGAGGGGAGTCCAGAGAGGGGAGTCCAGAGAGGGGAGTCCAGAGAGGGGAGTCCAGAGAGGGGAGTCCAGAGAGGGGAGTCCAGAGAGGGGAGTCCAGAGAGGGGAGTCCAGAATACTGGACCAGGGCAGGTTTCTCACTCACACTGTTTGGTCGATGTGTGGAATGGTCAGAAAACCCTGTTCGAGAAATTGTGTTTTTCTGTTTCCAGCGGTTTCCTTCGGAGCGACAAACCCATCGGGACAGCGGTGCTGAAGCTCGAGGGTTTAGAGAATCACAGCGAGATCCGAGAGATCGTGGAGGTGAGAGAGACATCTGCCATTCAGTAGCGGCGCCAGGTTTGCAATTATGGGTAGGCCTGCAGATCAGTAAGTTGGTCTAATTCGCTCGCAAACTTCAAGGCAGGGGTGCTCACACTTTTTCAGCATGCGAGCTACTTATAAAAGGATCAAGTCAAAATGATCTACCTACTACAAAAATGCAAATCATATATTTATTTCAAAAAATATTCTTTATACCTACAATGTATGTTTATGTACATGCAAAACCGCATGAGCCAATTTAGCACAACACAATTACCTATGTACATTTTTTGTCATTACCCGAGTTTACTCTGATGACTTGCACTGAATTGAATCGGCCAGGGAGGCATAGTCCGGAAAATTGGTGGTAACTCGCTGACAAGTTTGTCGTGGTTTAGCGCGGTTGTTTGCGCATGTGCAGTCACCTAAGTGTCAGTAAAACATTACTGAGTAAAACACAGATGTCATTTTACTGTGGTGCCATGTCCATGTGCCATGCCTGTTTTTTTTTTAAATCCAAATATTTCCCCTCCTCAGTTTATAAAATAATTTGCATCCACACATCTGCGTTATCAATCACATTCGTAACATTCCAAACATGTGCGTCTCTTACGTCCTGTCCTGCGTTGGGGAAAAACACAGAAGTGGGCGGAGCTTTGATGCAGACGCCGGTAACGGCACTTTTACAGTCATAGAAGACACTCAGAGTAAAGACGTATGTTTACAAGCACTGACCCCGTCCTCAGTCCTGGTTTAGTCCTGGTTTAGTCCTGGTTTGGTTGTTTTCGAGCGTGAGTCCCTGCGATCACTTTGCTGCTCTCTGATGTGGAGGATGTTCGCTGCTGCGAGCATCTCACAGCGAACAGTTTTTAAGGTAGTATGATCCATGCTTCAGTGATCAGAGGAATTTAGGGGGGTACTTTGGCGTGCGAGAACGCAAAACTCCGGTTATCTCTGTCTACACACAAATGCATTAACGGAGTTTTCAAAAATCTCCACTTTGCCCGGAGTTTTTTGTATATATTCGTTTAGAATGTGTATTTATTTATTTATTTAATGCGATCTACCAATACTACCTTTGCGATCGACTGGTAGATCGCGATCGACGTATTGAGCACCCCTGCTTCAAGGGGTAGTTGTATTAGGGATTCAAAGAATATGGTTCAAACGCACGCACACACACACACACACTCACACGCGCACACACACTCACACGCGCACACACACTCGCACACGCACACACACTCACACACTCGCACACGCACACACACTCACACACACTCACACGCGCACACACACGCACACACACTCGCACACTCACACACACTCACACACGCACTCGCACTCAAGCACACACACACACGCATGTGGGAAAGTGGACTTTTACAAGGACTTTTAACCGCTTTTATTTTTACGCTTTGTGTGTTTTTATGTTTTTATGCATGCATTTTAAATCATGGTTCGTTGGGCAGTTCCCCCACACCTGTTTTAATCAAGACAACTGGGGGCGGGCACGGAGAGAGACAGGAAAGAGGACGAAGGAGAGAGAAGGAGAGAGGAGGAGGACACGGGACCGGGCCAAGAAGGAACGCCGCCAGTCAGAGGCCACGGGGGACAGAGGCCACGGGGGACAGAAGCCACGGGGGACAGAAGCCACGGGGCCGCGGGGGACAGAGGCCGCGGGGGACAGAGGCCGCGGGGGACAGAGGCCGCGGGGGACAGAGGCCGCGGGGGACAGAGGCCGCGGGGGACAGAGGCCGCGGGGGACAGAGGCCGCGGGGGACAGAGGCCGCGGGGGACAGAGGCCGCGGGGGACAGAGGCCGCGGGGGACAGAGGCCACGGGGGACAGAGGCCACGGGGGACAGAGGCCACGGGGGACAGAGGCCACGGGGAGAGTGGCACCAATGATGTGCGTGCATTGACAGCTCAGGGCTAGGCCTTACATCACGGCTGGGATGTGCCCGCTCTCCCCCGCGGGTGCCTGGTGGCAACCCGTGGTTGGTGAGTGGCTGGTGAGACTGCGGCCCGGTCCCGGGACAGAGAAGGAGCTTGGCGAGGACAGCAGAGACCAGCGGACTGGGCTTTTATCTTTTTTTAAGGATCCTTTTGTACATATTTTATTACATTTTACATTACACACACACACACACACACACACACACAGGCCTGGAGTTTACCTCATTAGTGCGAGGTGAGCCTGGCCTCCTCTGGGACCTACAGGCCCGGGCCTCTGGCTCCTTTTCCTCACAAAGCTCACGCTGAACTTTCTTAAAATGAAAAAGGCTGCTCTGTTGTGAATGTTTTGAAAGTCAGTCCTTTAGACGAGGAATATCTGGTTGTTCACGGGAACGAGCTTCGCGCTGTTTGATCTGACCATGCAGCTTATTGGACAAAATTGTTCATCCAATAAACGGAGCTATATTTCGAAGCAACGTAGGAAGGTGATGACGCTCAGCCACAGAGTGGTGTGTTGCAGGTGATGGACGGCCGCAAACACACAGGGGGCCGTGTGGAGGTCCGTGCCCGCCTCAGGGAGCCTCTCTCTGGGCACGAACTACAGAGCAGCTCCCTCAAGTGGCTCGTCATCGACCAGAACAAGGTGCCTCTGTCTCTCACATGTGACATCACACAGGACCAGCACTTTAACCAGGACCAGCACTTTAACCAGGACCAGCACTTTAACCAGGACCAGCACTTTAACCAGGACCACCACTTTAACCAAGACCAGCACTTTAACCAGGACCACCACTTTAACCAAGACCAGCACTTTAACCAGGACCAGCACTCTAACCAGGACCAGCACTTTAACCAGGACCAGCACTTTAACCAGGACCAGCACTTTAACCAGGACCACCACTTTAACCAAGACCAGCACTTTAACCAGGACCAGCACTTTAACCAGGACCACCACTTTAACCAGGACCAGCACTTTAACCAGGACCACCACTTTAACCAAGACCAGCACTTTAACCAGGACCAGCACTTTAACCAGGACCACCACTTTAACCAGGACCAGCACTTTAACCAGGACCAGCACTTTAACCAGGACCAGCACTTTAACCAGGACCAGCACTTTAACCAGGACCAGCACTTTAACCAGGACCAGCACTTTAACCAAGACCAGCACTTTAACCAGGACCAGCACTTTAACCAGGACCAGCACTTTAACCAGGACCAGCACTTTAACCAGGACCAGCACTTTAACCAGGACCAGCACTTTAACCAGTGTAGGGTGAGAAAATGTCGATATCAGGTACATAACTTAAGTTATGTACCTGATATCGGAGAATTGGATAAAAACAACCATGTAATAAATACAATAATTGATAATAGCTTTATTTAGGGGCACCAGGGAATAACTCCCAACTGATAACGTGCATATGACGTCACAATATCAATTAATTGGCTCATTTATTGATTAAGTAATCTCATGAGTCCTTTCATTATTTAATTAGCTAATTAGTCCAATTCTCTTCAATAGAATCTGAAGGTAGTGAATTCTTTTACAAATCAGTGACCCAATTTCTGGAGTTAAAAGTACAAATATCACTTTCAGACAAAGATGGTTTTGTAGATTTAATGAAGTATACACAATACAGACTAGATATGAAATATGCAAATTGTCAAGAATAACATGGAGGAAACGTTGATTTCAAGATACATTGTTAAAATGCTAGGCTAAAGTGAGCTAAGCAAGGCCTTTGCCTATGAATGGATTGGTATAGGCTGAGGCCTGCATGTGTTCAGCCTTGGTAAGAGAAGTATTCTTTGAAGTATAGGTTTTAATAAAGCCAACAACTGTGTGTAGCAAGAGAGCAGATCATACAACCAGAATAGCCTTTGGTGAATAGCAGTCCTTGGGTCTTGATGGTGTTGGATGGAGGCTTCTTGTCCACAGGGCCTGGACCATGCGGCTGTATCATGTGGCTGAACCAAGTCCTCCCACGATCCACAGTCTAGGTGCCAAAACTCAGCAACTTCTTCAGGTTGAAGCTGGAGGCTATTGAAGGGTTGTGGAAGTCCTCTCAAACGTGGAGCTGAGGTTTGAGGCCATCTAAGAGGCCCAAAGCCCCTTGGTTGCCTGAGCAGAGCCCAGGGCAGAGCCCAGGGAGGTCTGGTCACTCCGTGGTTCCAAAGCAGACTGGTTTGTCTTCCCTCTTGTAGAGTCGTTGGGGGAAGGGTGTTGCCATGGCACTTATATTAGGACATTCTTACCCACAATAAAACCTGAACCACAAGGATTTACACACAGTGGAGACAGAAGTTATAATATGTCTCAATATACAACAAAATGTCTTTGATTGAGGAAAGAGGTCATTTTAATTTATCCTACACCAGGACCAGCACTTTAACCAAGACCAGCACTTTAACCAAGACCAGCACTTTAACCAGGGCCAGCACTTTAACCAGGACCAGCACTTTAACCAGGACCAGCACTTTAACCAGGACCAGCACTTTAACCAGGACCAGCACTTTAACCAGGACCAGCACTTTAACCAAGACCAGCACTTTAACCAGGACCAGCACTTTAACCAGGACCAGCACTTTAACCAGGACCAGCACTTTAACCAAGACCAGCACTTTAACCAGGACCAGCACTTTAACCAAGACCAGCACTTTAACCAGGACCAGCACTTTAACCAAGACCAGCACTTTAACCAAGACCAGCACTTTAACCAGGACCAGCACTTTAACCAAGACTCTGCTCTGTTCCAGGTCTGAGCCGGAGACAAGCGCACGGGCAAGGTAAGGTTCTTTATGTCAGAAGAGAGAGAGAGAGGAGAGAGCAGTGAGAGGGACAGCGAGAGGGGAGAGGGAGAGCAGAGAGAGGGAGAGACCAGAGAGAGAGGGAGACCAGAGAGAGAGAGAGACCAGAAAATGTAGAACTTTGTGACAGCTTTTGTTTCAAGTTCAATGTTAAAGAAACGACAGAAGAATTGGAGTAAACTTTGAACAGTTTCCATAGTAACCAGGGATGATAGACACCTGATCACAGACTAAAGTGACATCACATGACATCACGTGACCCAGAGACGTCACTTTCATGCATCATGTGATTATTCTTGTTTTACAGATGGGACTGTTCCACTCTGACAGGACTGATGTCTGCTGTGGCCCTTTAAGACTTATGCACATGGAAGACTCAGTCAGACCAGGACTGGACCAGGTCTGGACTGGATTTAACTGGTCTAGAATTTGCCAAGTTGAGCACGAAAGCAGGTCTCGGTGCTGACAAGAGGTCGGTGAGAGCGAGAGAGAAGAGAAAAATGGGGAGAAATCTGTCAGAAAACATTTGGTAAAAGAATGACAACGCTGGACATGGATCCCTCACTAGAACCTCTCTGGTCTCTCTCTCTCTCTTTCTCCAGTCTCTTTAATCTCTCTCTGGTGTCTCTCTGATCTCTCTCTATCTGGTCTCTCTCTCTGGTCTCTCTCTCTGGTCTCTCTCTCTCTGGTCTCTCTCTCTGGTCTCTCTCTCTGGTCTCTCTCTGGTCTCTCTCTCTCTGGTCTCTCTCTCTGGTCTCTCTCTGGTCTCTCTCTGGTCTCTCTCTGGTCTCTCTCTGGTCTCTCTCTCTGGTCTCTCTCTGGTCTCTCTCTGGTCTCTCTCTCTCTGGTCTCTCTCTGGTCTCTCTCTCTGGTCTCTCTCTCTGGTCTCTCTCTGATCTCTCTCTCTGGTCTCGCTCTCTGGTCTCTCTCTCTGGTCTCTCTCTGGTCTCTCTCTCTGGTCTCTCTCTCTGGTCTCTCTCTGGTCTCTCTCTCTGGTCTCTCTCTGGTCTCTCTCTCTGGTCTCTCTCTGGTCTCTCTCTGGTCTCTCTCTCTGGTCTCTCTCTCTGGTCTCTCTCTCTGGTCTCTCTCTGGTCTCTCTCTGGTCTCTCTCTCTGGTCTCTCTCTCTGGTCTCTCTCTCTGGTCTCTCTCTGGTGTCTCTCTCTGGTCTCTCTCTCTGGTCTCTCTCTCTGGTCTCTCTCGCTGGTCTCTCTCTGGTCTCTCTCGCTGGTCTCTCTCTGGTCTCTCTCTCTGGTCTCTCTCTGGTCTCTCTCTGGTCTCTCTCTGGTCTCTCTCTGGTCTCTCTCTCTGGTCTCTCTCTCTGGTCTCTCTCTGGTCTCTCTCTGGTCTCTCTCTGGTCTCTCTCTGGTCTCTCTCTGGTCTCTCTCTCGTCTCTCTCTCTGGTCTCTCTCTGGTCTCTCTCTCTGGTCTCTCTCTGGTCTCTCTCTGGTCTCTGGTCTCTCTCTGGTCTCTCTCTCTGGTCTCTCTCTGGTCTCTCTCTCTGGTCTCTCTCTCTGGTCTCTCTCTGGTCTCTCTCTGGTCTCTCTCTGGTCTCTCTCTGGTCTCTCTCTGGTCTCTCTCTCTGGTCTCTCTCTGGTCTCTCTCTGGTCTCTCTCTGGTCTCTCTCTGGTCTCTCTCTCTGGTCTCTCTCTCTGGTCTCTCTCTGGTCTCTCTCTGGTCTCTCTCTGGTCTCTCTCTCGTCTCTCTCTGGTCTCTGGTCCGTCTCCTCCTGGACAGAACCCTAAACCAAAGTGGATCCTGCTGCTGTAGAGACGTTTACATTTCCACAGAGTCGGACTGAAGCTGGTTCTGTCCTGGCACAGACTTAAAGTGAAGAAAAACACCTACATTGTTTAACTTTCAGACGGTGAGAGTCAGGGTCAAGAAAAGTTGGACTATTTTTAATGTTCTCCCATTATTCCCCTCTGCACTGATCACTGATATTTAACTAAACATATAAAATCAACAACAGCAGCAGTAAGTCATCTTTATCCATGTGTGTCTCAGCCCAGAGTCACCAAGAGCTTCTGTCTCTCACGGGAGCGAAAGAAGTCCAAGGATACAGGACATATTGATTTATTTTATTTTTAACGACTGAAAAAAGCGCTTTAGTCTCAACTGTAAAACTCCCGGAGACTTTCTTTCATTCTCTGCTTTTGTTTTTTGATAATTAAATCAATATTAGTATCAATAAAACAGGCTGTAGATCCAGGACTGAGGCTGTAGACCCAGGACTGAGGCTGTAGACCCAGGACTGAGGCTGTACACCCAGGACTGAGGCTGTAGATCCAGGACTGAGGCTGTAGACCCAGGACTGAGGCTGTAGACCCAGGACTGAGGCTGTAGACCCAGGACTGAGGCTGTAGACCCAGGACTGAGGCTGTAGATCCAGGACTGAGGCTGTAGACCCAGGACTGAGGCTGTAGACCCAGGACCGAGGCTGTAGACCCAGGACTGAGGCTGTAGATCCAGGACTGAGGCTGTAGAGGACTGAGGCTGTAGACCCAGGACTGAGGCTGTAGATCCAGGACTGGGGCTGTAGACCCAGGACCGAGGCTGTAGACCCAGGACCGAGGCTGTAGACCCAGGACTGAGGCTGTAGACCCAGGACTGAGGCTGTAGATCCAGGACTGAGGCTGTAGACCCAGGACTGAGGCTGTAGACCCAGGACTGAGGCTGGAGATCCAGGACTGAGACTGTAGACCCAGGACTGAGGCTGTAGATCCAGGACTGAGGCTGTAGAGGACTGAGGCTGTAGACCCAGGACCGAGGCTGTAGACCCAGGACTGTCTGGATCCAGGACACACAGGTACAATGGATCCCGACTGGTCCCTTTGCAGCTTTTGCGCCACATTTTTCCGACTTTGGGAATGACGTCTGGAGCAGTTTTCCGAGGCTTTCGTCACAGATGAAAGGACACGGCTCCTGAATGGTACTTTTTAACTCCTGCACTTTGATTTGAAACTTGAACTGGACTTTTCTGGACTTGTTTGGGGACTTACGCACCGTCTGCTTCTCCTCACAATGTATTTATTACACTGTCTGTTCGATCTGGAAATGTTTGGATTTGTGTGACATCACTGATGGAGCGAGTGGGCGGCGTTTCAGAAGTAAGAATTCCTAAATATCAACGCTACAAATCCACTGTCTAACGAACACATACGTTATTCATGACAACAACAGTTTTGTAAGTCTCTCTGGTCTCTCCCTTTGGTCTCTCTCTGGTCTCTCTCTGGTCTCTCTCTCTCTCTGGTCTCTCTCTGGTCTCTCCCTTTGGTCTCTCTCTGGTCTCTCTCTGGTCTCTCTCTCTGGTCTCTCTCTCTCTCTGGTCTCTCTCAGGTCTCTCTCTGGTCTCTCTCTCTCTGGTCTCTCTCTGGTCTCTCTCTCTCTCTGGTCTCTCAGGTCTCTCTCTGGTCTCTCTCTCTGGCCTCTCTCTCTGGTCTCTCAGGTCTCTCTCTTTGGTCTCTCTCTCTCTGGTCTCTCTCTCTGGTCTCTCTCTGGTCTCTCTCTCTCTCTCTGGTCTCTCAGGTCTCTCTCTCTCTCTCTGGTCTCTCTCTCTCTCTGGTCTCTCTCTCTCTCTCAGGTCTCTCTCTGGTCTCTCTCTCTCTCTCTGGTCTCTCTCTCTCTCTCAGGTCTCTCTGGTCTCTCTCTCAGGTCTCTCTCTGGTCTCTCTCTCTCTCTCTGGTCTCTCTATGTTCAATTGTTGAATTGAATGTGTTTTTCTTTTTCCTGTTTCTTTCTGAGCCACAGTTTCTCTCGTCTCCGTCAGACTCACTGTTAAAGCTGCGTCCACACATTTCCTTCTGTTCATTAACATTATTTTCACCTGTTTTTATTTATCAAGATTTCACTTCACAACAATGAGGCTGTAGACCCAGGACCGAGGCTGTAGACCCAGGACCGAGGCTGTAGACCCAGGTCCGAGGCTGTAGACCCAGGACCGAGGCTGTAGACCCAGGACCGGATCAGAGTCTGCGTTTGTGAAGTGGGATCTTGTGTCCGCTGTAATGAATATCCATAAATAAATATGATCATGGTTTATTGCTGTTGTGTCTTCGATTTGTAAAAAATTCACAGATTACGGCATCACTTAAAGCTCAGGTCCCTGACTTTCTGAGCTCTCAAAAGTTCTATCTCCCGTTTTCACAAAATGAGTTTTGACTTATTTAATATTCAAATTATTTGTATTTTCTCAGCCTTGTGCTATACAAATAAACTTGCCTTGCCTTTTTGACCGAGGCTGTGGACCCAGGACCGAGGCTGTAGACCCAGGACCGAGGCTGTAGACCCAGGACTGAGGCTGTAGATCCAGGACTGAGGCTGTAGACCCAGGACTGAGGCTGTAGATCCAGGACTGAGGCTGTAGACCCAAGACTGAGGCTGTAGACCCAGGACTGAGGCTGTAGACCCAGGACCGAGGCTGTAGACCCAGGACTGAGGCTGTAGACCCAGGACTGAGGCTGTAGATCCAGGACTGAGGCTGTAGACCCAAGACTGAGGCTGTAGACCCAGGACCGAGGCTGTAGACCCAGGACTGAGGCTGTAGACCCAGGACTGAGGCTGTAGACCCAGGACCGAGGCTGTAGACCCAGGACTGAGGCTGTAGACCCAGACTCAGAAATCTCAGTATTAATGAGAAACATGAGTGAGTGGAACAATAATTACGATTTAAACTAAAATCTCTTTGATCTGTTTCATAAAAGTCTTTATTGTACATTTCTACAGAACGACTTTGGAACTAAAAAAGAAGCACAATATTTGGCTTTTTCACCGTTATTCAGAAAAGAAAATCAAACCACAACAAAAGCAAAGTCACAAACGGCTGTGGTTCTGTCCCAGTGCGATCTAGTCCAGTCCTGTCCCGGTCCTGTCCTAGTCCTGTCCCAGTCCTGTCCTAGTCCGGTCCTAGTCCTGTCCCAGTCCGGTCCTAGTCCTGTCCCAGTCCGGTCCCAGTCCTGTCCCAGTCCAGCCCCAGTCTAGTCCCAGTCTGGTTCTTTATCTAAAACAATTTGGTAAAGCGTTGAGATCTCTCTTCAGTCTGGGTTTAGGTCTGTTCTGGACCTGGGTCTGGACCTGGGTCTGGACCTGGGTCTGGACCAGAGTCTGGACCAGAGTCTGGACCAGAGTCTGGTCTGGACCTGGGTCTGGACCTGGGTCTGGACCAGAGTCTGGACCAGAGTCTGGACCAGAGTCTGGACCAGAGTCTGGACCAGAGTCTGGACCAGAGTCTGGACCAGAGTCTGGACCTAAATACCTCTTGATCTTTAGTCCTGTTTCCACCAGCCCTACTTAGCCCTACTCTTCGTGGTTGTGTTTCCATTACACTGTCTTGTGCAGTATCCCAGAAACCGACCCACAACAAACCAGTATCTGAGTAAATTCCTTTGTAACCATGGCTTCCAGCAGCACTCTGACCAATCACTGTCAGTTAGAACACTTCAGTACCAGCTCGGCCTGGATAGAACCAGGACCAAGAGGGACTAAAGAAGGACCTGGTACTGGTTACACAGGACCAGAGGAAACTCTACCAGTCAGGGGAGAGTACGGGAGAGTACGGTAGGGTACGGTAGGGTTGGTGTAGGGTAGGGTACAGTAGAGTAGGGTAGGGTAGAGTACAGTAGGGTAGGGTACAGTACAGTAGGGTAGGGTACAGTACAGTAGGGTAGGGTAGGGTACAGTAGAGTAGGGTAGGCCTGGTGGAAACAGGGCGTCTGTGTAAATAAACAGTTTTTCCTTCACAGATTCTTCATGATTTGGTGAAAGACTTACATTCAACTGAGTCAAAAACAAGGGATTTTCTCATCAATAATAATAATAATAATAATAAAGATAATCATGATATTAATCATCATAATCATCATCATAATAATAATAGGACCAAACTCAAATGTTACTTTGACAGAGAAGAGTCCAGCCTGGGCACCCATACTTGTAGTCTTTCTGCAGGTCTCTGGTTGTAGTTCTTTTAATACTGAAGACATTTGTTTTTGATCAGAAAACAGGAGAAAATCAGTTCATTTTAAGTATTTTTGTCTCTATAGCGTCTAGTTTAGTCTGCAGTTATAAAAAGTAGAATTTATAAGAATATATAGATTTTGTACGATGCCTTTTTGACTCCTGTAACTTGTCGGCACCAGGAGCTAAAGCCACTTCCTGGTTTCTGACTGACTTCCTGTTACTTACATAGAGGCAATAATATCATTCTGATTCAGCCAACTCCAGCTCCATGCTAGCTAAATAAAAAGTCTGACCACAACATTTCCTCAAATATCGCAGTGAGCAAAGTTCATTTCTAAAAACACAGAAGAAAAAAAAACAATGGATAATTGTGCTTCATAATTGACTGAATCCAGCAGCGGCTTTTTTTAGATTTTGGAGATAGATACGACCCGTCTCCAGATGTCGACGCAGCTCAGGGCTACTCTGCAGTTGGTTCTTCACTGGGACCATAAACACAGTCCGGTCCTCATCGCTGGCCGTTGTGGGAGGAACCAGTCGAGGGGCCCCTGCTCCGGTGGGGGCCCAGGCTGGGAATGGCTTTTATCCAGTGCATTTGAAACATTTCTATGATAGACGTCTCTGGTTGTAGTTTTTTTTTTGTACATATCTGACACATGTCTGGGAAACACAGGGACGTGACGGGCCAGAGTTCTGTACGACGACATGATAAAAGCATCGGAACCACTTCAGAATCTAAGGACCAAAGAGTGTTCTGGACGTTTGTGGTCAGAGTCTGTGCTACGTGTTCGGAGAAGAGTATAAAAATATGTCCAGTCGGTTTGTGAAAAGAGTCCGCGTTCCCTTTCGTCGGTAGCACCTCTGGAAATGGTTTGATCCACCTCTGGAAATGGTTTGATCCAACTCAACAAAAGAAACGTGTTTTTGCTGGAATTTGTTGTGATTCAGTGTTTTCAGCCGAGATTCTGTCGTTCTTTCAACTTTAAACTACTTTAAAAACTCAAAAAGGTTCATTCATAATAAAATATAACATGATTCAAAGCTTTTATTATTTGTTTCAGGGTATTACATCTATATTCTCTCCTTCTTTGGCTTGTGACTTATAATTAAACCAATGGGATTCTAGAAAATTCCACCAGTTTTATTAAAAGTCCGAAATTTACTGATTTTTACTTTTACTCAGTTTTAAGAAGTTCTGAAACTGACGAATAAATAACTTTAAATACAACAGAGAACAGTTTGTTGAAGGGCTAATGCTCACAGCTAACTGCTGTGTGTTGCTATGGTAACTAGCATAAACTCGTAACTAGTACTCTTCTCTGGTGGAATAACAAACGACTTGGCTCAGAAGCAGAACCAGGACAGAACCAGTCCAGACCCATCCAAGACCAGTCCAGGACCAGCACCTTGGAGAAACCGCTGAAGTTTGTTGCTGAAAATGGTTATGTTTGAATCTTAGCTTTGAGAGTTAAAGGTAGAAAAATAAAGATCATTTCATAAAAATATTGACGTAGAATGAAAGTACATATGAAGTTGTGAAGACCAGAATGGTACATACGAGCGATACTGCTTCCAAAACTAAAGCCGTCAGATTGACAGCTGTGAAGTGAAAGGCTCGGGTCAGAACTTTAAACTGTTCTGACCCGAGTCTGACCAAATCCAAATCATTCACAAATTGCAGCAGAAATACATAGATTTTGTGTTGAGCTGGATGAACATCTGCATTGTACTTGTGTGGTTGTTGCTACCCAGAATGCATCGCTGAGGCCCTGTGTGCGTCCATGAACTGGCGGTAGAATAAAAAAAGCGTGCGTCGATGCATAGATGTGATAAATCTGCTGCTGCTGCCTTCGCCTAACAACATCCAAATCCAAGGCATTTCGACCCAGCTCTGGTTCAGTTTACTATGATCCAAACGCCTGGGACTTCGCCCTGCAGCTCCAATGAAACAAATTATTGGCAGGTACTGGAGAGATGGCCGCCATGTTGTGACTGTATTTGTATGGTACCGGAGAGATGGCCGCCATGTTGTGAATGTATCTGTCTAGTACTGGAGAGATGGCCGCCATGTTGTGAATGTATCCGTCTGGTACCAGAGAGATGGCCGACATGTTGTGACTGTATCTGTCTGGTACCGGAGAGATGGCCGCCATGTTGTGACTGTATCTGTCTAGTACTGGAGAGATGGCCGCCATGTTGTGACTGTATCTGTCTAGTACTGGAGAGATGGCCGCCATGTTGTGACTGTATCTGTCTAGTACTGGAGAGATGGCCGCCATGTTGTGACTGTATCTGTCTAGTACTGGAGAGATGGCCGCCATGTTGTGACTGTATCTGTCTAGTACTGGAGAGATGGCCGCCATGTTGTGAATGTATCTGTCTAGTACTGGAGAGATGGCCGCCATGTTGTGAATGTATCCGTCTGGTACCAGAGAGATGGCCGACATGTTGTGACTGTATCTGTCTGGTACCGGAGAGATGGCCGCCATGTTGTGAATGTATCTGTCTGGTACCGGAGAGATGGCCGCCATGTTGTGACTGTATCTGTCTGGTACTGGAGAGATGGCCGCCATGTTGTGAATGTATCCGTCTGGTACCAGAGAGATGGCCACCATGTTGTGAATGTATCTGTCTGGTACCGGAGAGATGGCCGCCATGTTGTGAACGTATCCGTCTGGTACTGGAGAGATGGCCGCCATGTTGTGAATGTATCTGTCTAGTACTGGAGAGATGGCCGCCATGTTGTGAATGTATCCGTCTGGTACCAGAGAGATGGCCACCATGTTGTGAATGTATCTGTCTGGTACCGGAGAGATGGCCGCCATGTTGTGACTGTATCTGTCTAGTACTGGAGAGATGGCCGCCATGTTGTGAATGTATCCGTCTGTTACCAGAGAGATGGCCGACATGTTGTGAATGTATCTGTCTGGTACCGGAGAGATGGCCGCCATGTTGTGAATGTATCTGTCTGGTACCGGAGAGATGGCCGACATGTTGTGAATGTATCTGTCTGGTACCGGAGAGATGGCCGCCATGTTGTGACTGTATCTGTCTGGTACCGGAGAGATGGCCACCATGTTGCGAATGTATCTGATACCGGACAGATGGCCGCCATGTTGCGAGTGTATAATTCTACTTAGAAACTCATACAAACTAAATCATTGCTTTCAGCTTCATGTAATAGACAATATTTTTGGCTTATTTGCTTTCATAAAAATTGTCTGGGGATGACTCTGAGCACCCTTTGTTTATCTATTCTTTAATAAAGTAAGATTAAGATTAAGAGATGGGGACATTTCAGTAGAGTTCAGTAAAGAAGAGTTCTCTGCAGCAATAAAATAATAACTGTATTTTATGACCCTGGATTTTGTCCTCTCACAACATGGCTGTCTCTCTCCCTCTGGATATGTGTCTGTCTGCGTGTGTGTGCGCGTGTGTGTATGTCTCTCTCTCTCTCAGCACCTGATAATAACTTGCTTCATGAGATAATTTCCAGGATGTAGAAGATGAGCTCCATGACGACGGGGCCCTCGGTCAGCTGACACGCGCCGCTATGAATGATGGGAATGAGGGCGGAGTCCAGGTCGCTGAGGTACAGAGGAGGGAGGGGTTGGCCGTTACTGCCCGCCAGATAGCCCACCTGCGAGAGAGAGAGAGAGAGAGAGAGAGAGAGAGAGAGAGAGAGAGAGAGAGAGAGAGAGAGAGAGAGAGAGAGAGAGAGAGAGAGAGAGAGAGAGAGAGAGAGAGAGAGAGAGAGAGAGAGAGAGAGAGAGAGAGAGAGAGAGAGAGAGAGAGAGAGAGAGAGAGAGAGAGAGAGAGAGAGAGAGAGAGACCACTATTAACGCATGGTACAAGGATTTAATAAGCATTTATAGAAGTGCTTCCCAACAGGGATGACACACGCACACACACAAGGAGAGAGAGAGAGACACACAAACACAAGGAGAGAGAGAGAGAGACACACACACACACAAGGAGAGAGAGAGAGACACACACACACACAAGGAGAGAGAGAGAGACACACACAGAGAGAGGGAGATACACACACAGAGTGAGAGAGAGACACAAACAGAGAGAGAGACAGAGTGAAAAGGACAGGATCCACAGGGAACAGGAGGTACAGTATTCTTGGGTGTCATTAAACTGGCCTGTAGGGGGCGCATGAGCACAGGTGGGACAACCATGGATCTATGATATTAACTGGATAGGGTATTACTAGCTTATAGCTGTCCCACCCACGGGCAGAGGGGGCGCCCGTGGTACTGCAAACTAAATTCAAGCCACACACACGTATTTGGCGCGACGCATCATGGGAGATAATCCACTGCGCAGAACCGGGAGGACCAGACGATGCCCAAATATAGGCGAGTTCTGCTAATCTCCCGGTCTCCGTGAAGTCCCATGCGCTACAGAGCACAAGCCATTCATTTGAATAGGACGCCATCTTGGATCAACGGGGCTTGGGGACAACTCAGTGTTGCTCCCATTGAAAACCATGTAAAGTCTGTTTCGGAGTCAAAGGCTCTCCTCCTGTGCGGTGTACGGTTGTTGGAACAGTCTAAATCGGGGACACTCAATTCTAAGGGAGGACTAACAAATATTTCTCAAAAGAGTCTTGATTTTGGGCATTTTTGGAAAGAATAACAGAAGAAATGGCTGCGTTTCATTGGGGTGGCCTGCAGGGGGCGCTTATCTGAGAAAGCCTTGATCGACCTCCGCCTCATTCCAGTGATTTTTTCAAAGTGTCCTCCTTTATATGAGACCACAGTTGGAACATGAACAAACTCTGGTCTTTCTCTATTTGTGCGGTTGCTACAAACGTACACCGCACAAAAAGATGCTTCTTCTTCTACTATATCTCCGTGTATAAACCACTTCTTCTTCTACTATATCTCCGTGTATAAATCACTTCTTCTTCTACTATATCTCTGTGTATAAACCACTTCTTCTTCTACTATATCTCCGTGTATAAACCACTTCTTCTTCTACTATATCTCCGTGTATAAACCACTTCTTCTTCTACTATATCTCCGTGTATAAACCACTTCTTCTTCTACTATATCTCCGTGTATAAACCACTTCTTCTTCTACTATATCTCCGTGTATAAACCACTTCTTCTTCTACTATATCTCCGTGTATAAACCTCTTCTTCTTCTACTATATCTCCGTGTATAAACCGCTTCTTCTTCTACTATATCTCCGTGTATAAACCCGGCAGACCCGGCACCGTTTGTTGTTTGCGCCACTGCCCTGACGTCCATATGAAACCCAAGAATGTGACACAAGGTGCAGGTCAGAGGTCAGGGGTCAGAGGTCACCTGGTCTGAGTCCAGCGTGACCCTCAGCCCCAGTTTGGCCGAGCCGTCCTCCTTCAGCAGCTTCAGGTGAGGACACAGAGCCACACAGAAGGAACGAGCCACACTCTCTGTCAGTCTGCTGTGGTCTGCAGGATCACACAGGGACGGGGACTCCTCACTCTGCAGGAAGAAGACCTGTGGGGGAGAGAGAGAGAGAGGAGGGGAGAGAGAAGAGAGAGAGGAGAGGAGAGAGAGGGAGGGGAGAGAGAGAGGAGGGGAGAGAGGAGAGAGAGAAGAGGGTGAGAAGAGAAAGAGGAGACAGAGGAAGTGGAGAGAGGAGAGAGAGGACCAGGCCTGGGTCAATACTCAGCACCAACAGTAAAGTGTACATTATAGCAGTATAAGTACACAGTATAGCAGTATAAGTACACAGTATAGCAGTATAAGTACACAGTATAGCAGTATAAGTACACAGTATAGCAGTATAAGTACACAGTATAGCAGAATAAGTACACAGTATAGCAGTATAAGTACACAGTATAGCAGTATAAGTACACAGTATAGCAGTATAAGTACACAGTATAGCAGTATAAGTACACAGTATAGCAGTATAAGTACACAGTATAGCAGAATAAGTACACAGTATAGCAGTATAAGTACACAGTATAGCAGTATAAGTACACAGTATAGCAGTATAAGTACACAGTATAGCAGTATAAGTACACAGTATAGCAGTATAAGTACACAGTATAGCAGTATAAGTACACAGTATAGCAGTATAAGTACACAGTATAGCAGTATAAGTACACAGTATAGCAGTATAAGTACACAGTATAGCAGTATAAGTACACAGTATAGCAGTATAAGTACACAGTATAGCAGTATAAGTACACAGTATAGCAGTACCTCGGTCCAGCGGATGACTTTGCCGTTGGCCTTGAACTCTGAGCCGTGGTAGACCTTGACGCTGGTGATGGACTCCATGGATTTACCGTCGATGGGACTGATCACTCTGACACAGGAGCAGGTATTTACAATCAGCCACAGGAGAAAACACAGACGCCATGTGCTCCTCTCCTCTCCCCTCCTCTCCTCCTCTCCCCTCCCCTCCCCTCCTCTCCTCTCCCCTCCTCTCCTCTCCTCTCCTCCTCTCCCCTCCTCTCTCCCCTCTCCGTGTCTCACCCTTTGTTGAAGTTGTGGTCGTCCTCCGTCCACTGGATGTGCACCGTGTCCTGAGTCTCCTCCTGATCCACTTTGCCGCAGGTGATGCTGAAGTCCTTCATGTCCTTCAGCGCTTGTCGAAGAGCCTCCATGGTCTCTGCGGTGATCTGGACCATGACTCCATCTGAGGGAACCAGAGGAGAACCAGAGGAGGACCAGGGGAGGACCAGAGGAGGACCAGAGGAGGACCAGAGGAGGACCAGAGGAGGACCAGAGGAGGACCAGAGGAGGACCAGAGGAGGACCAGAGGAGGACCAGAGGAGGACCAGAGGAGGACCAGGGGAGGACCAGGGGAGGACCAGAGGAGGACCAGGGGAGGACCAGAGGAGGACCAGAGGAGGACCAGAGGAGGACCAGAGGAGGACCAGAGGAGGACCAGAGGAGGACCAGAGGAGGACCAGGGGAGGACCAGAGGAGGACCAGGGGAGGACCACACAACACATGTTAGCAACATCGCACTACTGTCTCAGTCCTGGGTCTACAGCCTCAGCCCTGGGTCTACAGCCTCAGTCCTGGGTCTACAGCCTCAGCCCTGGGTCTACAGCCTCAGTCCTGGGTCTACAGCCTCAGTCCTGGGTCTACAGCCTCAGTCCTGGGTCTACAGCCAGACCTGAGATACTGAATTTGGGATTTTCATTCATGATTTCAATTCCAGCCGCTTCATATTTGAATGTTAATGCTGCAGTGCATGATGGGAGATCCAGGTTTTATGAAGCACACAGCAGAGAAACCCTGTGGTCCCCAAACCCCGGCAGAGAACAGACCTTCTACGATGCTGGTTTTGGCCAAGTATCCAGAGGAGGCTTTGAGAGCTCCACTGAACACAAAGAAACAGGATCCAGTCACTGAAACAGACAGGAAGCAGGTTAGACCAGGGCAGAGCTCCCCAACGGCAAACAATCTGGTCCTCTCTCTCTTTTGGGTCTCTCTCACTGGTCTCTCTCTCTCTGGCCTTTCTCTCTCTGGCCTCTCTCTCTCTGGCCTCTCTCTCTGGCCTCTCTCTCTCTGGTCTCTCTCTCTCTGGCCTTTCTCTCTCTGGCCTTTCTCTATCTGGCCTCTCTCTCTGGCCTCTCTCTCTGGCCTCTCTCTCTGGTCTCTCTCTCTGGTCTCTCTCTCTCTGGTCTCTCTCTCTGGCCTCTCTCTCTCTGGCCTTTCTCTCTCTGGCCTCTCTCTCTGGTCTCTCTCTCTGGTCTCTCTCTCTGGCCTTTCTCTCTCTGGCCTCTCTCTCTCTGGTCTCTCTCTCTCTGGTCTCTCTCTCTCTCTCTCTGGCCTCTCTCTCTCTGGTCTCTCTCTCTCTGGTCTCTCTCTCTCTGGTCTCTCTCTCTGGCCTCTCTCTCTCTGTGGTCTCTCTCTCTCTGGTCTTTCTCTCTCTGGTCTCTCTCTCTCTGGTCTCTCTCTCTCTGGCCTCTCTCTCTGGCCTCTCTCTCTGGTCTCTCTCTGGCCTTTCTCTCTCTGGCCTCTCTCTCTCTGGTCTCTCTCTCTCTGGTCTCTCTCTCTGGCCTCTCTCTCTCTGGTCTCTCTCTGGTCTCTCTCTCTCTGGCCTCTCTCTCTGCTCTCTCTCTGTGGTCTCTCTCTCTCTGGCCGCTCTCTCTCTCTCTGGTCTCTCTCTCTGGCCTCTCTCTCTGGTCTCTCTCTCTCTGGTCTCTCTCTCTCTGGCCTTTCTCTCTCTGTTCTCTCTCTCTCTGGCCTCTCTCTGGCCTCTCTGGTCTCTCTCTCTCTGGCCTTTCTCTCTCTGGTCTCTCTGTTCTCTCTCTCTCTGGTCTCTCTTTCTGGTCTCTCTCTCTCTGGTCTCTCTCTCTGGCCTCTCTCTCTCTGGTCTCTCTGTTCTCTCTTTCTGGTCTCTCTCTCTGGCCTCTCTCTGGCCTCTCTCTCTCTGGTCTCTCTCTCTCTGGCCTCTCTCTCTGCTCTCTCTCTGTGGTCTCTCTCTCTCTGGCCGCTCTCTCTCTCTCTGGCCTCTCTCTCTCTGGCCTTTCTCTCTCTCTGGTCTCTCTCTCTGGTCTCTCTCTCTGGCCTTTCTCTCTCTGTTCTCTCTCTCTGGTCTCTCTTTCTGGTCTCTCTCTCTCTGGCCTCTCTCTCGGCTCTCTCTCGGTGGTCTCTCTCTCTGGTCTCTCTGTTCTCTCTCTCTCTGGCCTCTCTCTCTCTGGTCTCTCTGTTCTCTCTCTCTGCTCTCTCTCTCTCTGGCCTCTCTCTCTCTGCTCTCTCTCTCTGTGGTCTCTCTCTCTGGCCGCTCTCTCTGCTCTCTCTCTGTGGTCTCTCTCTCTCTCTAGTCTCTCTCTCTGGTGTCACCTTTGCGGGGCTGGTGGTGGATGCTGATGGCCTGGGTTTGGTAGTTTCCGTCATCGTTCTGGACGCAGACGAGGTGAGAGTCGGCGCGGTCGTTAAAACAGGCTCCCATCGCCAACACGTGCTCGTTAGACTTGTTCATGGCCTTCATCAACTGCACACGGGAAAGACATCAAAGTCAATGTTACCCACTACGCTTTTTTGTTTGTTTATTTCTATGTAATACTTTTCATGACATTGTGAGAAGTTCTACCTTTAAATAAATTGTGTTTTTGTTTTTATGCCAACGTGAGATCAGCAGAGAATAAATTAAGCCAAAAGTAGTGAAGTTTTATTCTGGGAGAAGACGGCTGAGGCTGAAGCAGAAGATATATATATATATATTTGTATTGTACATTTTATATGCAATATCATCATAAGCTACATTTAGTTTGTATATATGTATTTGGGGAAAGTAACTTCAAAGTAATGCAGTAGTAGAGTAATGCTTTACACAGAGACAGTAATATTGTAACACATTACTTTAGATATTGTTAGGTTTTTGCAGTAACTTCCCCGACCCTGGTCCTGAGACTCACATTGAGCAGCTCTATAGACTCTGGGTCCTCTGGGTCTGTGTGGAGAACAGGCTTATGACTCTAAAGCCTAGCGTACATCGACAGAGAAACTGGGGACAACTAGTTGCAAGGCTCTCACCTCGGGCCCCGGGCGCTCTCACCTCGGGCCCCGGGCGCTCTCACCTCGGGCCCCGGCGCTCTCACCTCGGGCCCCGGGCGCTCTCACCTCGGGCCCCGGCGCTCTCACCTCGGGCCCCGGGCGCTCTCACCTCGGGCCCCGGGTGCTCTCAACTCGGGCCCAGCGCTCACACCTCGGGCCCCGGGCGCTCCCACCTCGGGCCCTGGGCGCTCTCACCTCGGCCCCGGCGCTCTCACCTCGGGCCCCGGCGCTCTCACCTCGGCCCCGGGTGCTCTCACCTCGGCCCCGGCGCTCTCACCTCGGGCCTCGGGCGCTCTCACCTCGGCCCCGGCGCTCTCACCTCGGCCCCGGCGCTCTCACCTCGGGCCCCGGGCGCTCTCACCATGGGCCCGGGCGCTCTCACCTCGGGCCCCGGCGCTCTCACCTCGGCCCCGGCGCTCTCACCTCGGGCCTCGGGCGCTCTCACCTTGGGCCCGGGCGCTCTCACCTCGGCCCCGGGCGCTCTCACCTCGGGCCCCGGGCGCTCTCACCTTGGGCCCGGGCGCTCTCACCTCGGCCCCGGGCGCTCTCACCTCGGGCCCCCGGCGCTCTCACCTCGGCCCCGGGCGCTCTCACCTCAAGCCCCGGGCGCTCTCACCTCGGGCCCCGGCGTTCTCACCTCATTGTAGCGATTACTGGGGATCCTGATGCTGGTTTTCCGCACCTCCATGTCCACCACCAAACCTTTCACCACCGGCAGCGTGTACTGGTAATTACGGAAATCCTTCGATAAACACAGAAGAAGTGATTTTAGGGATGAAACATAAAACATTTTCTACAAACTGGATTTTTGTGTTTTTCTGTCTGAAAAATCTGATCTAAAAATGTGGAAACTAGAGATAGAACAAAACTGTTTTAGAGTCACATGGGTTTCATTACATAGATGTTTGGTGGTTTAGAAGTTAGAGAGAGGGGAGAGAGGAGGAGAGGAGAGGGGAGGAGAGGAGAGGGGAGAGAGGAGAGGAGAGAGAGGAGAGAGAGGAGAGAAGAGGAGTGGAGAGAGAGGAGAGAGGAGGAGAGAAGAGGAGAGGAGAGAGGAGGAGAGGGGAGAGAGGAGAGGAGAGAGAGGAGAGAG